TTGCGAGTGATTTGTTTTGAGGGGTCTATGAGTCTACGCAGCAGATAACCCAAGGGCGGATGGGTGTGGGCATATATACCTCGAGCAGTTATCAAGGGTACAAAAGCAGTGTTGTTTGCAGTTGCGCGGGTGTGTGTACATGTGTATGTGTGGTGTGTGTGTACATGTGTATGTGTGGTGTGTGTGCATGTGCATGTGCAGGTATGACAGGACGAGTGTGTGGCATGCAAGAAGCGTTCCTGGATGTGTAACGCCACGGCAGCGGTGGCGAATCAGAGACCCCTGCAGACGATCGGAACGCACGGGCGCGATCAGGCATGCAGGCCACGCCGAAACGCACAGGCAGCGTGGAACGACCATGTATAGGGTAGTGGGCTAGCAACAGAGGCACACGTATGGGGATATGGGCGACGAGGACAACGACGGCCAGGACAGCATGGCCGGAGCATGCGGGCCAATGCTGCAGTGTGCTCTGGCGTGCAGCACTGCATGCGCGGCTAATGCGCCTCAGCGGGCGTCGCAGGTATTCATGGCAGAGGAGCACACAGGCACACAGGCATGCATGCATCCACACATGATGATATCCAGAAATGGGACGGAGTGTGGGGGGAGGAGGCCCTCTCTTGCGTGCATTGCTCATGGACGGCCACCGATGGGCGCTGTCCAGCCAATGTCGCCATGGTGTATTGCCATGTAGGCATGGCCATGTGTGTGGGCGTGCAGGCCATGGGGCCATGGGGCGGCAGATGGTGGTGGTGCCATGTTGGATAGGTAGGCAGGTAGGCAGGCAGGCAGGCAGGTAGGCCAGGCCAGGGTTCGTCGACTGCTCTGGCGTAAACTGTTTTTCTCTTCTAGGGCTCGTCGTAACCCAAGCTTTGGCCCGCTGCTGTCCCAAATGGCCCTCATGGCTACTTGAGGCCCTTGAGCCCCCCTTCGAGCACAAGGACGACGACTTTTGTCCTTTGTCTCTTCTTCTGTTGCCTCTCCCTCCGTCTTTCTCTCTCCTTCTCTCCATCTTCTTCCCCAGCCCCGTTGTCCGCTGCTGCGCCCGCCCTTTCCATCTCTCCCGCCGGTGCTGAGGGTGCCGTCATCAATCTCTGCCCAGCAATCCCCTCTTGGTGTTCCTGTCCATCCATCTACCCGAATCAGCCTCTGGCCCCGGCTCGCCATCCCGCCTAACATCGACTTTGGTGTTCTTGCCCGCTATTGCATTTACTCACCCTTTCGCCCATTTTTGGTGTTGAGTCTGCACGCCCGCCCGTCGACCCCCGAGCCTCGCCTCGCCTCGCTCAATCCCCTCTGCTCTGCATAGCCGCCTGTCAGCATTTGTGTAGCCAGCGACAGGCACGGCCAGCACCCTTTTTCGTGTTTTTTTTCTGTACGCTGCACTCTCGCCGTGTCCCGCGCCATGGACGTAGGCGATGCGTCCTCGCCCGGCAGTCTAAGCTCGCCCCCACACTCGCCCGAGCAGGGCACGCCGACCTCGACGGTTCGCGCATCTGCAGGTGGTGGTGGTGTTGGGACTAGCACCCCCACCCCTGCAAACGCGTCGCCGGCGACACATGCGCGAGGCTTAACCGCCAGCGGCCAGCCACGCAAGAAACCGGGGCCCAAGCCAAAGGCAAAAGACCAAAGTGCCCCTGAGCCAGAGAAGAAGACCAGGAAGCCGCGCAAGAGCGAGCCCAAAGACCCAAATGCTGCTCCCATCCAACGAAAGAGACGGACAAAAGCATCGCTCGAGGCCCAGTCGCAGCCCCAGCCTCAACCACCACCGCCGCCTCCAGCACCAGCACCAGCACCAGCACCCGCACCCGCACCCGCACCCGCGCCGGTTGTAGAAGAGAAACCACCTGTCCAGCAGTCGCCCACGCCGCAGAGTAGACCCAGTGAGCCCGCACCTGTCTTGCAACCAGAACAGCCACCCGCTATCACGCAACCCCCTCGCGTGCTGAGCAATGCCGAACCCACGCTTCACAGCAATCCCAACCTTTCACATATCAGTGCCACTCCCCCAGCACCACGCCCATCAAGCTCAGGCCAGCGCTATGATCCAATTCGAGGTGGCATCTTCGAATCCAAACCCCAGCCCGTAGCAAGTGCCCCTCCACCAGTCTCACCACGACTCAACCACCGTGCGAGTGCTTCTCCATCCATTACTAGTCTGATCGATCCCCCATCTGCCAGTAATTCCTTCTACTCTCACCCCGTCAAGCTACCCCAGCAGACCTCAGTCACTTCGGCGCCTGTTTCGCCTGCCGCCTTTTCTACCCGACCAGGGTCGGTCCTTCCTACCCAGGAATACCCACCTCAGCCTCCACCTCAACAACAGCAACCACAACAAGAACAAGCCCCACTTCCAGTTCAGGCCCAAACACATCTGGCTGCGCCATCGGGACCGACTCCTATGGATATCGACAGTGAGCCTAGCAAGCCAGTATCTGTACCCATGACAAAGTCAAACTCTGCAAACTCAGGCACGCCTTCACAGTCCAATGCTCCAACGCCACCCACCAAAGCCGCGCGTCAGAAAGAGGCCCCGCCACCATTACCGACAGGCAGCGGCTTGCTGTCAGGAACCCCATTTGGCCCAGTGGCCAACGCCAATGGCACATCCGAGACACAGGGCACTAACATTTACCTCCACTTCGATCTCAAGGGACGCGACAACGTGACCATCAACGTCGCACAAGAAGTTGAGAAAAAATACGGTTTTGCTGCTCTTCATCCTCGCATTGCTGCACGCAAAGAGCGTCAACGCCAAATCACAGCCGCTGGTGCCGCTCTTGAACGAGCTGCAGGCGGGGGATCAAACGACGATCTATCCGTCGACCTGTCTGAGAATGAGAGCAATGTTGAGATGGGAGGCATGGATGATGAGACGTCAGCCAAGGAGAATGGAGGCAAGAAGCGAAGGAAGAGAAAGCAAGAAGACTACGACAAGGAAGACGACTTCATCGATGACACCGAGTTGGCCTGGGAGCAGCAAGCGCTCATGGCAAAAGACGGCTTCTTTGTATACAGCGGTCCGCTCGTTACTGAAGAGAAACAACCAGTAGAGAGGTATGTATTTGGCATTGCATTGGGTTGATCTAAGCTTACATTTTACAGGGCTGACGGCACCATCAGGCGCGGACGAGGCCGTGGACGCGGTGGCACGGTACGAGGAGAGACATCAGGTCGTGGTCGTGGTCGCGGCGGGGGTCCTGGCTCTCGCGGTGGCTCCACCGTCCGTAAACCTCGTGTTACCAAGGCCGATCGGGCTGCTATGGAACAGGAAAAGGCCGCCCGCGAGTCTCTTGCACAGACAATCGCGACTAAACAGCCTCTCACTACTCCCTCTAACCAGACTGGCCAGGCTAGTGTGGCGTAACCAAAATACGTTCCCGGCATAAACGACCCCCGGTCTACATCAATTTAGGTGAGATACATCTTAAATGTGTTGTGAGTGGTCTTATCGGCGTTGGCTCCCGGGATCTTGCAATCAGTTACTGTTTTTTTTTCATCTTCCCCTTCTTCTGTATCTGATTAGTTACTTACTTGTACGATACCCATAGTGGGGCGGTTGTTGGTATGCCATCTGTCTGGCTCGCGAAAAAAAAGAAGGTCCGGAGGCTTTTTGCATGTGTAGATATATATCGGTAGGCGTTTACTGTTTCACTGCTGTCGTCAAAGATTCTAGAAATATCACTTTCAATACGTGTTCTCGTTTATTTTTCTTGCTGTTGTACACGAGTGATGAGTGAGTGGACTTTTTCTGCTCTAAGAGCTCTTTCCTGATCTCTCTCACTCTTGGATTCCATGACGTAATTCCTACATGGAGCGGCTCTGTACCATCCAAAAAGCTCGTTGTCTTTGCCTGGCTCAAAAGGCAATGACTCACAGAATAGAAGTCACATGCTTGAGCTATTGCAGTACTATGCTTGACCTGCAAATCGCACAAGTGTTACATTTGCTGATGTGGAGCATATATCTTATAGACAGAAAACCGCGCTGTTGAGACTGACATCTAGAATAGTTTGGAATGTGTGGTGGTGGGCGTTATTCTTTTTGTATAATACACGCAGTTGGGAGGTGTTAGGTTGATTGGATATTGTAAGTTGATGTCGTGAGGGACGGTTGCGAACAAGGCAGCAGTATAGCGGACCATGATAGTCACGAAGATATGCAGAGTAGTGCAGCATATCAATTGCTGCATAAGAAGGTACTCGGGTTACCATTTCCTGCTCGCGTACATACGCACACACTTTTCTCAAGATGTCTATGAGAGGATGCCGCAGGATCGGATGGAATTGCAGCTAAAGCGTGTTCCATTTTACAAGATCAACTCCCGAAAGGATTCAATCATTTATGGAAACCCGAAATCCGAAGGCAGGAATGCAGTTTCGGAGCCCAAGCCAGATGATTTACGAGTCCTAGTTACCACACACGTTGACGCGAATCTCAGTGAGAGCAATGTTGAAGAATTGAAACGTTGACTTCGCACATTGCCTCCTTCGCTTACTAACGGGGCGACTGTCAAGGTGGAAGAGGTTTGGAAGTCGCCAGCTTTTATCTTGCTCCTCTCTCTTCCAGTCTTAGTTTGAAATCAGCTGCGTTACAGCAAATTCGCGTTGAATTACGTTGGGCAAATGACTTCAAGTAACGCGTTGCTACCGCAGACTACTGAGGGTGCTGCACTTCCCCTCATGCCACCCAAAGGTTAGGAGAGCCATAAGCCAGGACAGTCGTTTAGGCAGAATTATCCCACCTAGGTATAGGCGGATAGTACCACAAGTCTGTAGGGAAGGTTCGATATGTAGGCGACTTCCGTTTCTAGAGTTCGTTTGTAGTCTCCCTCACCCTTAAGACGCTAGTGCGTCGCTGTCAACGGAATCACTCTCACTCTCACTTATAGCTATCGTGTTCTTGTTTCACTTGCAAAACCTTCTCAATTACTACAAACTGCAATCCTCCAACTCCGAAACCCCAGGGACAAAACACCTTGCTGTTGCTTCTAAGATATGATCAAGAATGTCCCAGTCAGCTCTACCACTAAGCCTCCCGTGCTACCCAGTGCCGACAGCATTACTGAGCGCTCGCGGAAGTTCTACGATGGAACATATACGTGGGATTCTGACGGCTTTACCGACGACATGGGAGGTAAGAGCAAAGGAGCAGGGCATGGGTAACGAGGTACTGACGGCAGGCAGTATATCGCACTTTTGACTGCTACGACTCGGATGCGCGAGCTCCAACACCGCTACCTCCTATGTTTCTGAGCAATGACGAAGAATGCGAGGTGCTGCAATGTGGAGTTGGCGCCGACATGGAGACTCTTGTGTTGGCATCAGACGATGGAAACGAAGGAATCACAGTGACAGCACAATGCGACGAGCCGTCTCGTAATCAAGCCAATGAGAAGCATCTCGTCGGAAAGATAGAAGGAGTCTTGCAAAGCACTATAACACCGCCTACCAGTCCTGCCGTTAAGAAACCAGCCACAGCTGTAGTCGGAAACAAGCACCCCAGTCTCATAACGCCTCCCAAAAACACCAAATCAAAGGTTCAGACCCCTCCGTCCTCGTCTTCAAGTCTTTCAGACTGCCCGTCAGATCTCTCTGAGTGGGATGTAGGCCTTCCGGTAAGTACTCGTGCGAATAACGTGACTTGTTGTGGCACTGCTGAGAAGGTTTTAGAATCCAAGTCATAAGAAGACGACAATGACAAGCAAACTGCAAGAGCCTGATTTGAAAGCGACAAAGCCAAAAGTTTCGACTCGGGGAGTTGCACAGAAAGTTAAGAAGGTAGTGAAGAAAGGGAAGAGATGATCGTACAGTGTGGTAGCTACAAGTCGGCTCACTTAACGATTACACTGCTGAATTCGCAGACTGGTGGCTACAAGAGGGTCTATTAGACATGCGGCTATCAAAGGGCACCCAAGTTTAAGCTACTGGTTCATATGTCCAAATGGCGATCAACAAGCTTTGTGTCTTTGTCCTTGTAGGGGGGGCGGGGGGAGGCATGTGGTGGTTGCGATCGAATCATGGAACGATGAATATTCAAGAGACATTCTGATAGCATCCTTCCGACCATTACAACACAAATGCCCTATACACTAATACTACCCAAAAGGATCAACACATTTTCCATCTCGTCATGTTCATGATAAAGCAGATATCTCGCCCCCCTCCACGGCTTACATGCCTCCCACTTCGCCTCTTTCCTCACCCTCTTCTCCGGACTCGCCTGCGCTTCCCAGTCCCCCATCATCTCTTCCTCCTCCCCTCCTCCACACAAGCATTACAAAACACGCCCCCACAGTCCTCACACCGCACCGCCCCCCTGCCCCGGCACCACCACCCCCTTACACCCCTCCCACGCCCTCGTCCCCCACCCCACCGCACACCAAACCCTCAACCCACGCCTCCTAACCGCCTGCTCCCCGGACCTCTTCAACCCCGCATAAACCCCGTGTGCCACTCCCTCGGATGCCCCTCAACCAACCCATCCGTCTTCTTGAACACACAGAAAAATAAAAAAAAAAATCAACCACCAACCGCCTCACCGGCGCACTCTCCCGCACCTTTTCGTACAGGGATCCACGTATCCGACGGCGTTTTGGCACGCTGATCGCGTTCGCTGATGGCGTTTGCGCGCCGCTTCGAGACTCAGGCGGTCGTCCAGCGCGAAGGCGTGCAGCAAGGGTGTAGTCGGCGGGCTTTCCGTCTTTGAAGGAGGTTGCGGTGTGTGTGTATGTGTGTGTGTGTGTGTGTGTTTGGGGCCCACGAAGATAGTGCTTTTGGGCGTGAATTCGTGGGCGTTGTCTTTGGTTATGTATGGGGGCTTTTGCTGGTCTTTGGGATATTATGGCGTGCTGAGCAGCTGGTTGGTAGGAGAGTCTGGCGAACTTGCATGTATGACATGGCTTGAGAGCGCAGTCTGTACGTCTCTCCAATCATACGGTGCTGAAGAAGGCCATGAAGAGACTTGATTTGTCTCGGATCGGACGCTGCGTGGTTACGATGGTGAATAGGTAGGTGTAGGTGTAGGGTTAGACTCTGATCTGACACTACACCTACACCTACCCATTCACCACCGTAGTACTAGTTAAACTCTAGCGTAATGTAGCTGCTATAGCTGTCTAGAATAAGGAGATAATAGACTCTAGATATACGAGCGGCTATATGCTAGTTAAAGTACTTTGCCACCGTTCGTGATACTGTCTAATAAGGCTCACCAGAACAGCTAGTATAACGGCCTCCTATAAGACTAGACTATCAGCGTCTTATATGATAGCTAGAAAACTAATTAGCTTAGTATAGACTAGGTAGACACCAGCCTGACGCGTTAACGCACTCGATCACTGTAATCCACTCGCGATTGCCTGGCTGTACTACAACTCCCCGACCAACTCTTTCAGAGCTTGTGACTACCTTGAACTGCTCTGCGATTACAGCACGATCTTCATTTTAGGCGCGCTGGCTATTAAACTTCCTAGTCCACTTTTTCTAAAGCTCTGGCTGGCCTTGGATACAGCGCGACACCTATTTCTTGCCAATAGGTTATAGAGGTAGACCTTGGCCGCGCGTAGCGAGTAGAGCGTCTGCTATTCGTCGTATATCAATGATATAGGGTAGAAAAATACGTTAGTCTAGGGCTAGGATCTATTACACGAGAGAACGTTCTTTATTAGGTAATAGCTTTTAGTTAATAGAGACTGTTTCTAATCATGGCTAGGTACCGCGGAGGCGCGTTCGTAGTGTTAATTCTAGCACGTTATACGCTGCTGGGGAGCATAGAGAGACTATTTTTGATTATTTTAATATAATAATACAGCAAGAATTATTCTATCTTTACAAGAAGTCTGTATAGAGCGTTTTTGTCGCGACATGGTGGTGGTTGTATAGAGCGTCGCGTTAGGTTGAGTGAGGAGCACGTTGTATCTTACTAGCTCTTAAAACACGTGCTCGTAGCATCTCGTAACAATCTTAAACCGCGTTTCGCCTTCCATTTATAATTTTGAACAAGCCTTCTCCCGAACTGAATAATGTTAAGACCCAGAGGAGCAAAGCGGGAAGACCAGTTGCGAGCAAGCACCACTAAAATTCATGTTAATATAGTACTAGTTAACTACCCACAATATTAGATTGTACTTGCCTGGATCATAGTACCGCTGGCATGGTTGATGCCTTTCAATGCCTGTCCCATGGTTGCCAACGAGGCACCTTGTAAAAGAAAAGCCAACCAGCTTGCAAACCCAAAGACTAACACTATCAATACATCATTCTGCAACAATTTTTGCACGACAGAGGGACTCGTCATGAGTAGCTGTAGGGCAAGCGTGAGCATAAGTGAGAAAGCGGATAGTGCAGCGGATCGTGAAAGCCAAGTGGCGCTATCCCCTATCTGTTGGATAGCTACATTCGTTGTGGTGTCATTTGCGTTACCCAAAGCAATGCCGAAGAAGTTCCCTCCAGTAGCAAAGCCCTGGCTTGCTGAGACCGATACGGAGAGTGTAATCGTGGCAGTAAACGCTATAATATGGAGGTAGTCCTTGAATGGAATAGGATTTAAATTCAGAGTAGCAGGTGATGCGAAGCTGTTTGGTTCTGGATCATGTGTGGGTGTTGCTGGCATGGCGACTGAGCAGTCTAGATTGTAGGTAAACTTCTTGAAGCGTACCAGGTACTTTGTCGGCACTACTCGTTAAGGATGATGTAAGCTAGTAACTATCAGACTGCGAGGAAAGAACACAATAAGGAAGGGAGGTGGTATCCTTTTAAGTGTGGACATCGCAACACCCATCAGTTTTTCCAACTTAGGACCAACCTGCGCAGCTGCGCCACCTTTCGTCAATATTTCCCAAATGAAGATTAACCTGCGCAGCTGCGCCACGCAAATCGCAGGCTCCAGAGCTCTTCGTCAACTTAGTGCTTAAAGTGTTGAGCTATTGAACCAGACTTTGCAAAGAATCACCCCTGTTTCCTAGTATAGTTGTCTAAAGTTGCTCCTGCTTAGCATAAGTACAAGGCAACCGCCGCACCTGGTGACCATGGTAATCAAGCGACGCAATCTTCACAACACATACATGTCTGTAACCCGTTTAGTCTAACTACTACCCATTAGCTCTGTATTTTGCGAAATACCCGCTTTTTCCTCAAGTTAACGTCATTTGCACTCTCCAGACATGAGCCAATCGTCTCAGAGTCAAGATCCTTCCAGAAGTACTCCAGGTGAGACTGTTCCTAAACGAAGTTGAATATTCCAAACTAAATATATGGAGGCTCTGCGCTACAAGTCTGCCTAGAAAATGAGGGCATGCCTCTTGGAGATGGCTTTACCATCATCAACCATATTATCAAATATAAGACTCAAGGATATATAACCGATGTAATCTGGCGACGCAAGAGGACCTCTTTAATGCACGAATACCTTCTATTTTGTGTGGTTCTTCCACATGGCGAAGAGCGCTCCTGGATTAGACTCGAGCGCATGGGAGACATTGCTGGATCCAAGATGGCCGAAAGGAAACGTGCAGGCCTCAAAATCAATTTTGCCCCGTCAGAAAGCGCCCTTGGATGCACAGACGATAAGGATATCGCGCAAATCAGCTTCGAGAGGGACACAAGTCTCTTGCGACCGCAATACCCAACACTGATAGATCTCGCAAATTTCGTTGTCATTCTTCATGATGAGGTGCCGGATTATTCCCTCCTACATCACAACTGTTGGTGGCTGGCACGAACTGTGTTCCGACTTTTGGTGTTGGAATTCTTTCCAAGCGACACGCAAAAGATGCCACTTTTGGCGACCTGTAGCATGCGGCATTTGAAGCATATCGAGGCCCCCTATCACTCCCCAAAGCGTGGCCGACTTGTTCGAGGTGGCTTGCTTATTGTTACAATTCCAGTCTTTCCCATTGCCTGGCCAATCATTATAGGAGGGACTTTGTTCATTGCCGGGCGCAGTCATTACGTTTTGAGAACGACAGAGAACAAGGTGGATTCTAGGGTCAAAGAATACATGGAGAAAAAGCCCTCGTTCCAGAAGCCTTGAGGTGCCACATTTATCAACAATCAAATTTGCTTGAATGGCTTGGTTTGCGTAATTGACTCTAGCATTTGGGCTTACATTAAGGGATAAGGTAGGAATCTCCAGAAGCGTTTCAGGAGAGATTCTAGACCTAAATGAGGCAGTCACATGGCGTTAATTTGCTGGTATTGAGTTCGGATTGATAAATCTAAACCTAGGTACAATTTATTGTAATTTGATATAATATAATAAGTAAGGTGTGTCCCTAAGTGAAGATACACACTTACGCTGGTTGTAAGACGTTTAGGTCGACATAGGCACAGGTAGAGGGCAATAATAGTAATGCAAGGTAAACAGTCTGTATTCACGTAGACGAACAGCTACTAAATTAAGGTAGCGTTCCTTATGCTTATATATAGCGTGATAAGTTAGATATAACTGAGGTAGCCTAGAGGGGGCTAGAGTGGCCTGGGGTAGGCTGTGAGGTATCAGAGGAGGCTAAGCTCTAACACTGGCAAATGTGTGGGTGTAGAGGTAGGGTAGATTATTATCCAATTGAATACTTTTATCACAGCCTATTAGCACGGTTTTATACCCCTTACTATGGAGTACCCATTTGCCAGTGTGACACACACTGTGTCCCGAGACAAGTCCACGGTTCGGACATCCGGAGATACTTCTTCTTCGACCTTTTAAGATATAGCTAATGCATAATAATTCTCTATCTACTGTTCTTTAGGTTAACTAACATCCGATCTAGATCGCTCTAGTGTTAGCTAGGCTATTAGCTATCTTATAAACGTTGTTAATTAACTCTCTAGCAACTACTCCCTATTTATTTACAGCATTAAAGACACCTTAATCATTTAGAGGGTTAAGCAATAATTACAATAAATTAAGATAGCATCTTAAGGGTTTAAGAGCTTTTTAACACAGCGACGTGCATGCTAGCAGAAAATTGTCGTAATGCCAGCCACGCAGAACTTGGTTGGCGATGAGACTAGATACAGAGACAGTTCTAGAGTCGATGTTTCTATTCCGAGATTTTCTGCGCCTTTTAGCTGTGCTTGACCTTGTTGTGGTGGAATCACTACCGGTATGCCGCCACGCAGGGTTTTCCGCTACACATGGAGGGATATCACCATAGTGCGTGGCTGTTTCTTCCTCCATCAAAAATCTAATCTCCACCTCTTCTCTACTTTGGCCAAGATCCACCTAACTCACAGATTTTCACCAAGTCAAAATATTCAAAAACACGGTCCTGATAGGAAAAAGTCCAGAATTCCAGTCTTTTGTAAGAATGGATGTGCGCTCGCTATGAAAGTCTTGGTTGTTTTAATTATTAATGATTATTGATGCGTGAGCATTCATTGACGAAAGGACGGTCTTGTAAGTTCTTGGAGGCTGGCACACATTGTCTTTGTCGCAACACACTGATAAAATAGCAAGCACTGTGCCGCAGGTCGGCCTTTGCTTCGACAAACATCATCTCCTCACACTACAACAACAGTAACTTTCAAACGCTTTTATTCATTTCATTTTGGCCAATACAAGGCATCTTTGACTGTGACCTCGAGTGGCATAAAGAAGAGATATCTTACCAGCTATCTTACAAAAAACACCTCACTATGTGTTACTAGATTATACAAAAGGGACTCATTCTACCCTCATCGAAGCGTCGTTTCGTCGTGCCAATGTGTTTTACACATGGCTGTGGAGTAGTCCAGTCCGAACTTATGCGACAAAGTTCTTAATGTCTAATGATTATGTTAGTGCCAAACCCTTTCTTGTTAAATCATGTGGGGTGACCTACTGTTCAGCCATCTGACGTATTCCTTCTGCTCCTTGTGATCAATGTAGTCTGGGATGAAGAGCGCAAGACGAGTGTTGATGCCACGCTCCTCGAGGTACTTTTCAAGCAGAATCTGGAGGTCCTCATCTAGGTTGTTGAAAGGAGGGCCCTGTTGCAAGTTAGATCTAAGAAGGGTCAAGACTTCAAGTCGTAGCTACATACCGTGTAGAGCGCACGCCTTGCCCAATCCTTCTCAGCGGTGGCAGGGTCAGCCAAATCAGCTGATGGGAAGTAGTAGAGATCCTCGATCAGGAAATCGCCATCCTGAGCAGTAGCCTCGATAGCCAAAGCGCCCTTGCCGGGACGCTCGATGCGGATGCTAGCATGGGCAGGGAAGCCTTGCTGTGACTCGTCGTTCTCGTAGTCATCCTCGAGCTCTTCACGGTCAGCAGGAGCAACGCGGTCCTCGGGCGCTACACGGATGTTTCCATCTGGAGTCTTGCCCTGGTTGATGGCACCCTTGGTGTTTGCGCCTCCAGACTGCACATCCATATCGGCATCGTCGTACATGGCGCTGTCCTCGGAAAACTCATCCCCAGGCTGGTTGGTGTTGAGGTCGGCAGTGGTAAAGGTGATGCGGATCTTTTCGTCATTGTACGTGCGGGTCAGGACGACTTCTTGGTTGCCATCCTGGTCCTCAATCTATGTCAATGTGAGTATTGGCTATGCACATCCAGATATCTGAGAATGCTAACCTCAAAGGGGCTGTTCTCAAGGTATTCCTTGATGTTTGCCGAGAGATCCTCATCCTCCTTCATGCTCTCCTCCATGGCGATTTCGCTCTGCAGCTTCGCAACCAGCTCTTCATTGACTGTTATTTGCATTAGCCAATGTAGTCTATTTTAAATATGTGCAATACATACTACCGCTATCTTCTCTTCTTGCTGCAGACATGGAGAAAGAGGCTGTGAGTCTGGGCACAGCGGCAGTCCATGCTGGCTGGAAAGCAGCCGTCTGGCGCAGCGCAGTTTGCGGGCGCACTGCTTTTGTGGAGAAGCGAGCGACGGACCGCGGGACGCTGCGGGCGAGATTTCGTAGAGAAAGCATTGTATTTGCAGGGTTTGTGGTTGGCTTTGCAAAACACGATGGCAGCAATTGATTCGTGAAGAAAGAAGAGCGACAAATGCGTAGGCGGCGGGAGACGTAACTTTTCGAGGGCCCGAGCTTGCGGGGACCACCAGGTTGATGTGAGGTGGGATGGGCTTGGCGCCGAATTGCGGCGCCGACTGCTTACCTCCGCGTGTGGATAATAATGCAAACAAGTTCGAGTGCAATACGTACTCTAGGTCGCGGGCGTTCGGGCGCACAAAAGTGACATTTGCATCTTCTTCACAAATTGCAATTGAACCCAAATACCTGTGTTTCACCTGCTGCGAGTTCAGCCACGATATCAATACTACGTCACGTCACTATTTCGAGTCGCTAACCACAGGACGCCGCGGTCTGCGAGCGCAAAAAAGTCCGACTTCACCGTCGCACATAATCCAGTGAGCTCCTGTAGAGCCCAGTCCAGCCATCATGGCGACTGCACAATCAGAGAAGAAGAAGAAGCCAAGTGCGATGCGCTCCATCCTGGCAGGCGCAACAGCAGGCGCCGTTGAAATTTGTAAACATCCACCGTTCCGATTAACGGACAAAAAAAAAGACAGCATACTGACTCTTTGCTCCAGCAATCACATATCCCGCAGAATGTACGCTCTACATAATCCATCTTACCCACACCGCACTGACCGGTACATAGTCGCAAAGACACGATCGCAGCTCAACCGACGATTACCAGACGGGAAGAAGCTGCCATGGCCGCCATTTGGAAAGCAATGGTACGCAGGATGCACGACACTGATTATTGGCAATTCGCTCAAGGCTGGCATACGTACGTTTCCACACATGCTTAGACATGTCTCTCGGAGGGGGGTTTTTCTCATTCCTTTTGACTGGAACTGACACAAAAATTATGCAGGCTTCGTCGCATTCGACATGTACAAGAACCTCCTCGCCGACGCCGAAGGCAAAGTCTCAGGTCCCGCAACTGTTATTGCGGGTTTCGGGGCTGGAGCCACAGAATCGCTATTGGCAGTCACGCCCTTTGAGAGTATAAAGACACAACTGTACGTATATATATACACACATCTTACCCACACCCCTCTACTCCCCCCCTCACACGCTCTCCCTCTCCCTCTCCCTCTCCAATCTGACCATTCTTCTCTCCATCTAGTATCGACGACCGCAAATCCGCAAACCCACGCATGCGCGGCTTCCTGCACGGCTCCAAGGTCATCGCCCAAGAAAAAGGCATACGAGGCTTCTTCCAGGGTTTCCTACCCACAACCGCGCGTCAAGCTGCAAACTCAGCCGTGCGCTTCTCGAGTTACACGTCGTTTAAGCAACTGGCGCAGTCATATGTTGCCCCTGGAGAAAAACTCGGTGCGATTAGCACATTTGGGCTTGGAGGACTGGCGGGCATCGTTACGGTGTACACGACTATGCCGATTGATACGGTCAAGACGAGGATGCAGTCGATAGAGGCGAGGAGCTCGTATAAGAATAGTTTTGATTGTGCGGTCAAAATATTCAAGGATGAGGGGCTGCTCACGTTTTGGTCGGGGGCTCTACCTAGGCTGGGGAGGTTGATTCTTAGTGGTGGCATCGTCTTCACCATGTATGAGAAGTCTATGGACTTGATGGATAGACTGGATCCCCAGGGCAGGTACATATAGTCAAAAATCAAGTGGGAGAGTGGCAGGGGCCAGGAAAGTGCGGCGTCTCTTGAATAGAGTCTTCACCAATGGCCATGGATTTAAAGGATGCGCTTTCGTGCTCTAAAACTTGCTTTGAGCTTCTTGACTCTATACTTATATGCTTCACAACTTGAACCCGCCATGCTACTACGACTACGACTACGACTGCTGCTACTACGACTACTACTACTACTACTACTACTACTACTACTACTACACCAGACAACTAACATACTCCAAAGCCTTTAGCTCCTTTATTGATCGCCATGCAAAACAATTAAGCAGCGGCCGGCGCAGGCGCATCAGCAGGTTCAGTACCGGCTGGCGCAGCAGGTGCAGCACCAGGGGTGCCTTCAGTCGTTTGGGGAGGGATAGCAGTGTTGTTAATCGCATCACCCTCATTCTTCTTTGCCCACTTGGGCTCCTTTGCCCATTGGGCGTCCCACCAAGGGCCCGCATCGCTCAATGAGCAACCCTTCTCGCACTGGCAAGTTCCACCAAACTCTACGGGCAGGTTCTCCGCAGGCACTTGAGCCAACAACTCCTTTTGGTATCCGCTACCCAATACGTGAATCTTGGCGCTTGTGACGGGGTCGAGGAATTTCTTGACCACGCTGAACACACCCGAGAACCCCCAGGGTGCGTTGATAATGTACATCTTTCCCAGGCGCTCGGGGTAGTAGTTCTGGCTGATGGTGGAGACTTTGCCCAAGTAGCCGTACACAGACGTTGCCTTGCTGATACCAACGCCCTTCAGGTCCATGATTGTGCATGATGTCTCAAGTAGATAACCAGACTTGCGCGAGCAAGCGGGCAGACGCGGGTCGGCCATCTTTTCGTATTCGCACACGAGGTTCTGGATCATGCGGTCTTCAGTTGTAATCTTGTTGAGTGCGCCAAGGTCGACTTTGCCGAGCTGCTCAATGTACACTGGGCGGCCATCCTACGGAGCAGTTAGCGGTCTGGTCGCTGACATATGGCTTCGACAAGTCCATATTTATTGGCAGCAGATTGTAGACATACCTTGTCGGTCTTGTGGTAGTACTGAGGGTAGTACTCAAAAACCTGGGGCCGTTCGGTGTAGTCAAAAGTACGGACAAGCTCCTCGACACCCACGCCAGCGTACTCGTTCCTCCACTTCTCACAGTCAATGAACCTGAAGCCTGTTAGCAGGCCTGTTCTACACCTCTTTTTTTTCCTGTATGCAGTAGCAATGTGCACTCACATCTTTTTCGAGAGCTCGACATCAAACTTTCGTGCGCGGAGGAATCGCAGCTATGAAATGTTTAGTATAGGGGTCGACCGACTCTCACAGGTACTCATAGACGTACCAGAGTCAGAGTATCGAGGTTCTTGGTGTAACCAGCCTGCTCCAAGGCAGTCCTGAGCTCGACCAGAGCTGCATCTTGCTGAGGCGTGGTATGACCAGGATGTCCACTCTGAGCGGTGGGAGAAACAGTGGGATAATCGTAATCGTCATACTTGGGGTCGAGCTTAAGCTCAGAGGCGGGTGGTGCAGCTGCCATGGTATCGTGTATGTGAGAGGACAGGCGGGTGCAAGAAGGGTGTAAAGAGAGTGTGTGCAAAAGAGTTACGTGTTGCGCGGCCCTGGGGGAGTAGTCGAGGAGCGCACGTTGATGCTGTCCAAGTGGGTCCCATCATTGCGGCGGTCAAGCGAGTCTACTAAGACCTCCCCCTCACCAACTAGCCTGCTCCCCACCCAGCGAATTGTCGCCCCTTATCCCACCTCATGAACCCATTGGTGGCTATCGGCCCACGTCCACATCGGCTTGCTTTCGCTCAATTGCACCATTTCACTTTGTTCGCATTTATGGCATTCATTGCATTCATCACATGATCAAACTTTGTCTTGAACAGATAAACCTTAGTCAGACAAGCTCGGAAGCAAGCGACTCGGCCTTTTTTTAGGGGAACGACTACCTAGTTGATACAATGCAGAAAAGAAGAACGCAAGAGAAACCCAGAAAATAGATCAAACAGAACCCATATCGCGAAAAGAAAAAACACCTATCGCAGAACCAATCAGACGCTTCGCACACCGAAAAGAGAGTAGTGGTCCTTCTGTCGTCAGGCTACCAAAGAAAGCGTGTTCCAGACATAGAACAACAAACATTCATGTGAGATTCGTGTACTAACCGCTGGCATTGCCCATGCCCCTGCAGGATGACCACATTGCCCACCGTCTATTGAGCCACTCACCCCGCAATTGCCAACTCTGAATTGTCACCATAAAGCCCAAAGTGCTGTGGGCAGACGATAGCAACCGAACACCGAGTAAACGACGCCTTGGAAACGATGGAGAACGCTATACCACAAGCCTATTGACATGCCCGGAGGCCGACCGACTCGACACCGGTCAATTCCTCCGATCTCGACTTGGCCCAAAGTCGACTTCAGACACCTTCTTTGCCTCTTTCCGGCTCTTGACAATGTATTGTGCGTACAGAGCCACGTGGTCACTGGGAAAGTGGTAGTTAGGGAAGCCTGGCACTCGCTGGAGGTAGCCCTTGTCGATGTCGCCAAGCAGGCCAACCACTTGCAGAGTGTTGGTCGAGTACCAAATATAATCCAATACTCCTTGGAAGTGTGGAACATAATTTGTAAATGCCAGCTCGCCAATGGATGCGTAGCTAGACTTGAGGCTGAAAGGGTGGGATATTCCGTCTCGTGTGAAGTTACCATACTTCCGGCTTCCCAAATCAGCGTGCACATTCGAAATGTTGCCGTTGGTAATAAGGTCGTAGACACCAGAAGATGGCAGTGAATTGAAGTCACCGCACAGCAACACCGGGATGTCGGCGGGGTCGGTATACACCTTGGATGGTCCTGGCTCCTGGGTCGGATCTGGCTCCGCTACTTCGTCATTGTCACCATTGGTAAACTGGTATACCACCTTGTTTGTGCAAGGTGGGTGCTTTGTCCATTGTGTCGCGAACTTGGTGATTCCCTCCATCAAAATGGCAACTTGCACGAGCTTGACGTCTTGGAATGCGGGGTTCCAGAACACGTGTACATTTCCTACAATGAATCTTGACCCAGTAGCTCGATTTTCGAGGAATGCGAGCACTCCAATGTCGTCTCGTGGCATGACGCGGTTGAAAATGTCGTGCTCGCCCTTCATGTCTGGTCGGTTGATGGCCGTGTTGGCGAAATCGATCAGTTGCTTGTCAAGCAGGATATATCTATACCAGTCAGCAATTTTGCGAATAGAAAGATGCACGTTTCAGTTCACTTACTTGCTATTCTTGTAGAAGATGGCACAGCCATCAACAAGCTTAGCTTCCCTCTCGGCCATGGTGCGTGCTCTGGATTTGGGCCAAAAGACTCCCTTGTAGTCGTTATGTGCAAGTGCTGCTCGGAAAAATTCATTGAAGCTCTCCTGGTCAATTTCCTGCAAGCATACTATGTCCGCGTCGCGCTCTCGCAGTTCGGCCAAGATGAGCTCCCTGCGACTTTCCCATGCAAGCGCTGAACTGGGCGTGTAACCATATTGTGATTGCGTGCAGTACTTGTCGCACAGAATGTTGTAGCTCAGCGCACTCACAGTTTCTTGGGAGGTATCCTGGATCTCGTCGAGGACAATCCAGTCTCGCTCGGGTGGCGCCTCTGGTCCAGGTGCATTTTCACGGAAGTGCTTGATGAGTTCCCCGGTGCCCTGCTCCATGATGATCTGCTTCAGATCATCTGGAATCGGGTTGCCCTCAATACCAAGCATCTCCAATTGATACAAAGACCCCAATTCATACGGCAAATTCTCGATGTGGTTGTCGAATAGCAATAGCTGCTTCAAATTTACAAGCATGCCAATCTCTGGGGGTAGATATTGCAGGTTATTGAGTGAAAGGTCGAGATGCGTAAGGTTCCGTAATTGTCCAATCTTTTGGTGAACATAAGTGAGCTTGTTCGAATTGAGGTAGAGCTTCGTAAGAAAGGTGTAGGCGAATAGCGCGGGGGTAATAACCTTGAGGTTCTGGCCGCCAAAGTCGAGGATGGTCCATATGTGCTGGTCTTTTGCGTCTTCTGCTCGCTGGGCAGCAGGTCTGTTGCGCTCCTCCTTGTCCGCCTCTTTCTGCATCCCATTGGTTGTTCCAGCTACGACGCTCTTGCTGACACTTGGATGAATCCTGGCGTGTGAGTGGGCCTGGGTCATTTCACGCGCTGTTTGGTGCAGCTTCAATTGCTCTTGCCAATGCTCAGTCTGTGGCTTGCTGAGACCGCTGTGCACGCTGTTTGGGGTACCATTTTGGAGATGACCGGGGGTGAAGTGGGGCTGAACGTTGGACATGCCCCCGCTCGAGATGTTATGCTGGTGGTTGTATTGCCCGACATGACTGTTTCCAGTAAGATCTTGATGTTGCTGGTGATGTTGATGCTGATGCTGGTGATGCTGATTGTGCTGAAAAGGCTTGCCAAGGCCCATTTGCATGGCAGCATAGTTTTGCTGCCCTGTCCGCCCGTTCATCATAACGTTGTGGCCCTGGTGCCCATGACCCTGGTTGAACATACCGAACTGCTGCGGAGACGATTGGCGCCCAGGAGATCGAGCTGGCGAAGGGGTATCGGGGTTATTGAAGGGGATGCGGGCGCTAGTTGTGGGGGATCGGGCGCGGGTGGGAAGGTTTCGTGTGTTCTGAGTGTGTCGTGGAAAAAAGGATTGGCCGGTTCCCCTGGGGTAGACCGAGTACTCGGCCATCTAAGGGAGTTCCGGCGGATGCTTTCGAGGGGCCCGCAGGCGGCCGTGTGTATCGAGAGTGAAAGGCCCAGGTCGCTATGGCTAATGAAGGCGTCGGGCAGGCGGTAGGGTTCGGGCACGCGATCTTCTTCGTTCTAACATGGACGCCCTTACGACTCCTCGACATGAGCACGCGCTATCAGAGGCGGGAGCTGTGCACCATGTATTGGAGGCGCCGGTGGTTCGCAAGTGAGGGTGGTGGTCTAAAGCGGGGAGTCGGCAGTGAGCGCGGGTTAGGGTTCGCTCGAGGCTCGGGATGGTGGCGGTGAAAGGGCCGGGGCGCTGCTATGTGTATTGATATGTCGGCAGGCTATTGTTCTGAAGCAGTCAGCTTTGGGGTGGCGGGGAATCAAAGAGGTTGGAGCTGCAGTGGGTGCTGGTGGAAGCGGGTGGAAAGCAGCGTACTTACAAGAGCGGAGCATGTCAGAGAGCGCGCAGTATTTTTCTGTCAGTCGCAATTGTACCAGACATACGGAGAGAGGGTCCAACTGCAGCGCTGTGAAGAATAGAGAGCGTAGTGATGCGATACGTGAAGCCTGAGAGTCGAACCTTGCCCGATGCATGGGGGGTGCCGCTAGACGGCACACGTGACATTGGTGGAAGCGTCGATCTGGTGCGCTGAAACGACACATCTGTCCCCTCGCGCGCCGGCCTTGGTAGTGCACGCATCCTGTGTCTGGGCTGCAGCAACAACAGTGTGTGACCGGTGGGGATACCTCCCGGACAGTGTTGCTTTGGAGGCATTGTCTACAGGACATGTAGGGCACACTCAGCGAGGTGGTCCGCGCGGGCATTCAGGCTTATGAGGGCTCCATGGGACAGCAGCAGCAATAGTCGCTACGTAGATATGCATGCGTACATGTGTATATGTATGGATACATACATACACACAGGGTAATAGTGGCAGTAGACGCTGGGTCCTCTGCCAAAGCTCCATGGGCCCAAATACGCAATCATACACACGTATGTGTATACCGAGTATACATGTACCGACATATGTGCATACACACACACATACTGCTGCTGCTAGCCTATGAGACACTCCCTACGAAAATCATGGACGCCATCACCTGCAGCGCGCACTGTCGGCCGATGCCGCGCCCATGCATACGGCGGCCCTCCAGAACAGCTTCGGTCACAGCGCCCACATTTTGCCCAGCGGATTTGCCCTGGAAATCCGGGGGGCATCACGCAGCCACAGACGGTGATTGGAGATGTCTCCTCGGCACGATCCAGAACTCCTCACCTGAGCGGCCTTGTACACCCGGTTGCGAAACCGAGATGCATCCATTGAAAACCCCCGTTCCCCATACATACATACTAGACACATTCCACTCACACACACGCGCTTCAACCAACTATGCTGACACCTTGGCCTGCTCTGACATCCCTCCGCTGCTGCACTGCGCACCGTTGCTACCACGACCGCTCTTGCTGCTCTGCTGTCCCGCTCGTTGATTGCTGACTCGCCTACACGTGCTTATCAGACGGCCAGGGACAAGGCCAATATCACGCTCCCGCTAAAAAACAGTGGGGCAAGGGTCGGAGTAGGCTGGATAACTCTAATCACGTTTCCAGACGGTCTCGATGGGAGACTGGCAGCTGGCAAGGACTCTGCTGACGCTGTTTCGAATTACATTGGGCTAATTTCCTCGCCAGTACCGCTACTACGGCGCCAACCCTACGGCCAGCCCTCCATCACGCCCAAAGACTGTCGAAGCAAAGCAATGGGATCTGGCCACCACCGACGCCCTCGGTAGAACCATCTCTGCGTCCTCGACCACCGCCTCGACTGGCCCACGCCCTCACCCCACCATGGACATCACCAGGGGCTCCATGTCGAGCAACTCGACCCTGAGTACCAAGGACGACGGCACCACCCCCAACGAACCCTTCATCCTGCGCCATGGCCGCAGATACATCCGACGCGCTCAAGGCTACCCGCTGCCATGCGATCTTCCCGAACTCCACCGCCAGAATCTACAGACGCTTCTTGCCACGGCCGTCTTCGGGAGGGCCCTGGGCTCGACCCCATCACACGCCCCGAAAAAAGTCTTGGAAGTCGCGTGCGGCACAGGATACTGGTCGGCTGTCTGTCACGAATGGTTGAGTGGTACGTACACCTGCTGACCTTGGCGGCCTGTCCGGCCTGTCCGGATAGAGGCCTGCGACTCCCTTTTTTTTCGCCATGTCTGCACACCCTTAGCTGCCACTCAGTGTTGACCATGAACCAGGTCAGGGCTACGAAGATGTTTCTTTTACCGGACTGGACATTGTCCATGTAGCCGGAGACTTGCAGCGCCAGGGCATTGACTGGAAATTTATGCAGCATGACTTGCGCAAATTGCCACTGCCGTTTGACGATGAAGAGTTTGACATTGTAGTCATGAAAGATATGAGCATGGTAGTCCCCTTGGGGCCGCCAACACAAAGGACGCTTGACGAGTGCATCCGCATTCTCAAGTCTGGCGGCACGCTAGAGATGTGGGAGACTGATCACATTATCCGTTCCATCATGCCTCATCCTCCGCCTCCGCCAGGCAAGAATCCCCAGGATTATGCCTGTGCCGTATCGACTGGAACGTTTCTTATTTCACACACGACGCCCTTCACCGACGTCCAGAACAAGTACCTCCAAGATGCAAATGCGTGGATCCAAGAAGCCCTGGGCCGACGCAAACTCTCTCCCGCCCCGTGTTCGCGCATCTCTCAGATATTGCTCCAGGAGACGGAGACACTGTGCGAGGTAGAAAACCGCCGGGTGGCGATTCCGCTTGGCGAGCCGCGCTGGGAACGCGAGGCAGCTGGCGATACAATGAAGCGACGAGGGAGTGAGGCTGGGAAGCTCAAGATGGGCGGGTCAACCATGGACGGCTCTACCCTGACGCAGGAACAAGCGGCCCTGCGGCACACAGCGCTCCTTGTTGTTATTCAATTGATTGAAAGCCTCGAGCCGCTGCTCAAGGATGTCAGCGGCAAGAATCAGGAGGAATGGCAGCGCTACTGGAATTCCATGATCAACGACCTGCTCGAGCAAAAAGGAGCCTCAAGTGGCGAGTGTCTTGAAATTGGAATCTGGTGGTGCAAAAAGGTTTGAGATTTGATTGGCGTTACCTCTGTTTTCTTGAGCTTTTTTTTCTCTTTTTTCTGTGATATCCCGGTCTACGGCAGGCCATCGTTGGCAGATGTTAGTTCGTGTTTGTCAGTGGCTAGGCACCTGTATCGTAGCGCTGGCGCAGAGTACGATAACGCTTGAGATAGTATCTGTACTATGTCGTCAGCCCCCCCCCCCCCCCCAAAAAAATTGCTTTTCAAATCAAAATGTTTTCTTTTCTTTTTCATGGCTTGAACTTACAAAGCTTCAATTTCTAAACCGTACATGTATTAGCAGTGAACATGTGCCCGAGTGGATAGACTATCAGAAGACCAACCTTTCTTCACGTACTCTGCCCTCTCAATACCTTGCTTGATCTTGGCCTCGTCGGTCAAATGCCGCTGGCTTGCAAAGGCCTTGTGTAGACGTGTACGAAAGTAATCGTACCCCTGAGGGTACTCTCGGCCCATGTAAAGCAAGTCTGTTTCATGTGAGTATAAGTTTGGTAAAGATTGGGGGGGGGGGTGCGGAAGTACGACGGACCCTTGTAGATCCGGATGACTTGATGGCGAAGCGCTGGGTTTGGAGTAGTCATGTCTGGAGTAGATGGGGAGGAGTGGAATAGAGTTTTGTTTCTTTTTTGCAAAGAAAAAAAATCCCAGATATTTGTATACTTGAATTGGTGCTTTCCTTTTCGTTGTAGATGGCGTTCGCTGGGTGCACGACGAGGTATGTTGTAGTGTGATGGCAGGATGTGCTCGGACCGGGTTCCTGATGTACGTAGGTACATAGGTACGTAAGGTTGGTCGAGTCGAGGTGGAGAGCTGGAGAAGCGGGGACCTCGGCTGCTTTGCCGCTATCTGCACATTGCCATCTCGAGATTCGCCGTGTTGCTTTTGCAGCGCATTTTCAAGCTTTTGTGTATTATTGTTTGTCAACATGCCACCATTGCTGCGATCAATTGTCTGTGGGGTGAAGCCGATTAGGCAGCTTCCAGGTTTGCAGCGTGTCTCTTTTCAGCGACATCAGTCGACATCAAGTGGTATGTAGATATGCTTTAGGAAGGTACGACATGGCCAACTAATCACCATGTACTGTGCATACAGATAACGCACCTGCCACGGCTGCTCTCAGTCCAAGATGGCTCTCAGATGTCAAGCTGCGGATTGGGAAGTGCATTAGCTTTGGAATCAATCCAGCCCAAGTCGAGGAGGCCGGCTCGATATTGCAAGAGACGTCAGAAGATTGTGAGCATTCGACTTGAAACGTTTTTTTCTAGTGTTTGTGCGTGACGAAGGTGCTAACTTGCTCATGCTTACCAAGGGAGAGAACTCGTAGCCGGAAGCGAAGGCTTCCTCACTGGCAAGCAATGGCGTGGACTCTACCGGCAAGAGGTTGTTTGGGGAGAGATGGTCAGCTTCACCATCCGAGACTTCGGTAGACGACTGCTAATTTGGATGTTGGTTGCGCGCAGGATAGCATGGTAGGCCGACTCCAACGCGCTAGTAGTGAATGACTGCTGATCAACTCAAAGGGTATTTACTTGGTGGCCTCGCTGTATACAGGGAAAGTTTCTAATCGTTTCCAGGTCACGTGAACAATGTCATGTACAATCGATACGCAGAGTCTGCCCGGGTCAACTGGACACTGAACTTTGCGGCTGGTGACCCGCAGCATCGAGCTGAGTGGTTGGAGCTCATGACACCAAAGAGCATTGGCTTGATTCTGCGGAGCATCAAGACGGACTATAAATTTGTAAGTAGAGGCATTCTACTCTTTGCTTCTGTTTGTCTGTTTACTAATGCCGAGCACAGCCAATGACATGGCCAGACAGGTGTGTTTGCCGGCGTAACAAAGCAGTCCCGTATTGACACGTGCGCCACTAGGGTCACGGTACTCCACAAACTCCGCAACAAGCCTAGCCAAGGCAGTGACCATTTCATTCTCGATGTCATGATTCTGTCAGAGGCACATCGTCGGCCGGCAGCGCGTTGTATTGAAGACATTGTAGTTTACGACTACAAAACAGCCAGGAAGTCACCACTGCCACCTTTTATGATTGAAAGGTTCCAGGAAACATTCAATTTGCAGGAGCAGGCCAAGGCAAGAAACAGTGGTAGGGTCAGGGCGCTGTTGGATAGGGTAAGAGCGCTGGAGAAGGGTAGTTGGGACAGGCCAGATGCTAAGGAGGACTTTGGAAGTGCAAATGATGCATAAGCCTGCAACAGCCTATCACTGAGACTGGCCATAGCATGGACAGCGGGACTTGTGAGCGAGAAAAAACATAATACAAGGATGAGTGATAGTTTATGATTGCTTTGCTCAGAGGACGAGTATACATGGTGGTGTAGTGGTGAGCAGGATTGGTCGAGGGCGGCGTTGCATGCATATCACGTCATGTCGGCTGCAGTTTAGTCGATGCAATATGCGGGGTTTCTTGCAGGCAGCTCTGGATCATGCCATAGCAGCAGCGGAGAAGAGAGGCACTGAGGGTGGGTGGAAGGATGCAAGTTGGCGTGCAGGATAGGTGCAGTGGGCAGATATGCAGAGAGATGGTGGTATGATGGCGGCGCAGGGATCTGCACGTGATGGGCGACGGGAATTGCCTGTTGTGGGGATCTGCGCGCCCGTTGGACGCGTGATGGTCAAGCTTTCCCTTGTTTGCAACGCTGCCCCGCTGCCATTGGCGCAGTTGGGCTAAGCTTCTACGCCGGCACTGTGCAGATTGCGGAAAAGGCCATGGATGTGCGGACGGATGGCTTGCGCGCTATGCTCGCCTCAATCCAAGATACACACACATGGACGCAAATGCTCCGATGGCTTTGTTTGCAACAGCCGAACCGCGTGCCCGAGCCTCGTTGACGAGGGGCTAGATTTGGTGCCGTCTAGACAGCTGGCACGAGCACGGCCAGGCTAGGTACATGTGTATGTACTATGTACATGGCCTGGTGGCAACCGCCGCACCAAGTCTCTGCGCGCTCAAGACGAAGAGACGCGAGTAATAGACGGCGTCGCTGGCGGGGGGGTGCCCGCTGCAGAGACTTCATGGCATGCGGTCAAGAGAGGAAAGCGCGACATTTACTTGCCCGGAGCGGGCTGTGGCACAGGGGGGTCCCGGCGCCCGCAAATGAACCGCCATGCTAGAGAGGCCGGCGGAATCCCGCCCACGAATGCCATGGTGGTGATGATGCTGGGGACGGGCATGGGCACGACAGCAAGGAAGAGCATGGCCATGGAGCCGATGCAGACAATGGCAAGGCAGGGCCCGCCCGACGCGACGCAGACGCAGCCAAGGCCTCTGTGCGGGCAGTCTGGCTTGCATGTCTTGCGCACAGCAACCATCGTGGGTTGGTGGCCAGGATCGGCATCGTCAAGAGAAATCGGTGTCAGTTCGGCTGGGGTGGGTATCGACGGCGCCAGGCGTCTTCATGTGCCCAGGTGTACATTGTTCGTGTGTGCGGTGCATGTGCCGGCGTGGACATGTGCGTATGAGAGAGAGTAAGTGCGATTGAGGTGAAACCACGGTACGGCAGAGGGGGCAGGCCGGAGGAGCGAGGGCGGACGACAACGGCAAAGGCACTGGCACTGGCAATGCAGCGGCAATGCATGCCCTGGCCAGGGGGGCGCGGTGGCACCATCAAGGCACGCCGTGCTGGTTGACTGCTATGGCTTTTCTGCCTTTTTGCGCTTGACGTTTGCGCAGACAGCAGCGCGGCTTGGCACCAGGCGGAAAGCTGCGAGGAGCCACGCGCAGGGCACCTCACTCTCTCCTGCTCCCCCATTCATCCCTCGCAGCCCAGCACACGACGCCCTTGCCCCTTCGCCTCGCCGCCCCCCTCGCCCTCACAGCACCCACCCGAGCAGCGGCTCTCAGTCTTCCAGTCTGGCTCGTCCTGTGCAGCAGTCGAGTCTCGCCGGGGAGACGTTTGCCCGCTTGCACCCGCACCCGCACCGCCGTCTATGGTAGCAAAGTCGAAGAGGACCGCGGCGCACGACAAGCGACACGAGAATGGCCTTGCCGCCCCCGGCAGACGCATCGACAAGCAGAAGAGCAACCCGGCCCTCAGTGCCAACACCCCCAATGGGAAGACTACGGCACAGCCCAGGCCCCAGCCCGGCCATGTAGCAGACAGCAGCGACACGGCGCCAGCAAACACGCTCCTTCACCACGACGCCCCCACTGCCACCATGCCTGCCGCCGCCGCCGCCTCGTCGTCCTCTGCCTCGTCGGCCACCCCCTCCGCCTCCTCCGCCATCACCACTCCCGCTGCCCCCCACGCCCGCTCACACGACCGCACGCGCGCCGCTTCGGACGCCTCCAACGACAATTCCACAGATGCCTGCCGCCCCTACGATAATGCCACGGGCCCCTTTGACCCCATGCCATCGACCCTCCGCCGCGCAGACACCACAGGCTCCAAGCACGCTTCGCTGTCCATGACCACCATGCTCTCTGTCCCCGCCACCATTCTCACGTCCTGTCCGCTGCGGGACGTGCTCGCCATCCTCATCATCCTCCTCCAACTCCCCCCAACCGTCCTCACCGTCGTTCAGTTCCTCTTCGCTACCCTCACCTTTGTCCCGCCCCAGGCTGGCACCCCCCTCTCCGCCCTTTCTGCCTTTCCCTCCTTTACCGACATCTTCCAGGGCTCCGGCGGCACGCCCTCGCTCTTCACCACAATCATTGCCGACACCGTCATTCTTATGATATGGTTGTTGCTGTGGGTTCCTGCCCAGAACTTCTTCCTCGACCTGGCACAGGCCGTCATTGCCATCGCCCTGGGAGGAGCTGCAGCCGGAAAAAAGGGCACAACCAATAGCATTGTCATATGCTTTCTTATTATTTTCACCAGCCACGTCTTCAGATTTAGGCCTCTCCGGCAACACATTGTCCACTTTCTTTGGACAGGGCTCGCCCGGGGAGGCCTTGAATTTTTGACGAGCCCTCCGAGTACGCCTACCTCATTGGAAAGCTTCTCAACCCCCCATGGATGGCCTCGCAGCCTCCTGGGTATTCATATTCTAGCCCAAGGTGTCGTTCGCATCATCCGACGCTCTCTGTCTCGACGAGAACACACAACTCTACCTACTGGCAAGAAGACAGACCCCGAATCTGGTGTGCTTCAACGCTCCAACTCAATTAACCATGAACCAGCTGCCGATGTCCCCAATGCCTCGAGTACCGACGGCCGCCCCCCGGGGCCGTCGCCCGCCGTACACGCACACAAGGATAAAGCAAGTAGTGGTAGGAGGAAGAGAAAGCAAGCCACTCATGTTCGGAGCCAGCAGCCGTTTTGGGCTGCCCTTGCAAGTACAAAAGTTACTGTTTTAAAAGAAATGGAGAGTAGCCGGGCGGCAAACGATGCCGACGAGGCTAACGCAAAAGACGCAAATCACATTGGAAACGCTGTTTGGAGACCGGAAGACGATCGTGTTTGGATTTCAGAAGTCGGCTTTTCCGACATTTCATTTCGTGTTAGTTTAGCTGGTGGAGCTGGCATTCAGGAGCAGAATGAGGAAGATTCAAGCCTTGGATCCGGCATAGACAAGTCAAAGCCATTCTACATCCGTGTCAATGGCGCTGATTGGAGCTCTACCCGGATTCGGCAAAGCGAACCTGTCGGTTTTGAAGGTCAGGAGGGAACGGGCTATTGGGTAGGAGAGATTTTTGGGTTGACGGCACTGTCAAACTACTACTGCGAGTTTGTCCGGACCAACGACAACGAAGTCTTCTACTCAGCCAGCCTTATTACCTCGGCCAGCCCTGTCACCGAGCTCGGTAAGAATGACAGTTTGTGCTATATTTCTTTGCTAACGCGGCCAGCTTTAGCCTCTATTGCCTCCCCGCCAGCGCATCAGACCCTACGGCCTTCTTCGCCTACTACGACATTGAAGAACTCTATTGCGGCAGCCGACCAGCAGTTACAAGAGCAACGCAATCGCCTGAAGCGGAACAAAAAGGACCACAAGACTGCCATCACCAATATCAAGAAAGAGGTGGATACTCTCGGAAACCGCCTTGCCAACGCCGGTGGCAGTGATGAACGCCAACGCCAGCGTGTCCTCCAGTTCACCCAGAATATTCGCCAGGCCGATGATGCAGCTGCAGATTTCGCCCTTCAAGCAGAGAATCTGGGATGTATTCCCGAAGACGAGTCCAAGGAAGCCGCAGCCAAGAAAGCCGAATGGAAGAAGGAGCGTGACAACAAGAATGCGGTTGCGAGCGAGTTCGACAAGACCAAGGAAGAGATTGAGCGCCAGGTTCAAAGCGTCCAGAGTGACATCAACAACGCTTACCAGAAGAGAGAGCGTCTTCAGCAGCGTCAAACCAGGCTCAACGAGCAGCATGACCGTCTTGTCACCGCCAATGCTGAAGGGTTCACCGCCAAGCAACGAAGAGAGCAAGAACGTGCAGCTTTGCGAGCAACGCGCGCTGAAGTCGAGCATCAATATCGGAGCAACATCATCAACTACGAAAGGCGAACTGAAGAGCAAAATCTCTCGACTGCTCAAATCATGCAAACCGTGCAGCATTACGAAGAGCTCATGATTCAGCAAGCCCAACAACACATGTCTGTTCCGACCACACCTGATGGCAATCTCCCTGGCACGAGCATGTCTCCTCATAACAACGGTTTCGCCAGCTTCACGTTCCCATCGCTCAACTCACATATGAACAGCACACCTGGTTCCATGCGTGGTGGTCGCGGTCGCTCTTCGTCAATGCTTTCCAACGTATCTGGCTTCACTGACGCTTTCGATGAGCCCTCCTCTATGGCCCCCTATGTGCTTGGTAATCCTTTCAATACCCCTGGACCCGTCAATGGACGCAACCGCAGTCATGGAAGTGGCAGTTTGAGCTCGGGTACTTCGAGCCAAACTTCGAGCCAGCGGGATCCCATGAGTCCTGTCCAAAGTTCCAAGCCCATGATGGTTCGAAGCGCAACAAGTGGTAGCAATGGTTTCATGAGTCCGATTGGGACTGGTCGATGAAAAGCGCAAGAAAAAAAAAATAACGGGATCCGTTCTTTTACCGGATCCTCCTACGTAGCTCTCCAATGTGATTATATGTGTTCTTTTGGTTTATCCAAAATTCGTTTATACGATTCGTTGTCTTGCCTTGTGTTTTGTGTTTACTTGTAGTGATGTATCGCGCCTGCCTGATCCAACACACATTGTGTTTGATAGACGGATTCCAGATTATAATATTCTTGGTCAGAATGTTTTGTGCACACTTTACTACAGACAGGCTTTGACGACAACACTGTATCTTTCTTTATGCTCTTCTACCGCATCAAGCTAGCATGTGAGTGACGCTTCATCATATGTATAATTGACGCACGTGACAGTTGCTCTAATACATGAGACGTAAATCCAAAGCTCAACCACTTCATCCTTGTACACATGTATTTTCACTGGGGAAAGAATAGATGTAGAAATAGTATTTACTCTTCTTTTCTCTTGAATCGAAATACAACTAAAATGGCGATATTCTGGATCATGATGTACACTTTCATATGTCATCACGTTAGGTTGAATAGATAAGATCTGGTTTGGGGGGGAGGGGTATGCTACGAGTGTGGTAACGATTTTTGACCTTTGTTCCTTCATGTACATGAGATTCCCATGACGAGATACATTGTAGTATACTAATCTGGTGCTTGACTCCTCCTCCTCCTCCTCCGCTTCGCATCACAATCACAAACAAAGTAACATGCATAAACAAGAATCAATTCAGTCTAATATTGCATATCTGTTGAAGAAACCGCAGACCCATACAACTATTACAAAAAACGGTAGCACCGTAAAAAAAAAAGAACACCGTTGAGCTTTTACTAGATTACCAGATATGTGCAAATCATGTGGCAGGCAGTAAAAGGACCTCTCCTCGCCCATCACGACGACTAAGGTCCCCCACACACCCAAGAAAAGAATCCCTCCTTTCCTCCCATTTCACGAGCAAACTCTACCAGGCCAAACAATCTTTTGCGCTTACCAAAAGTAGAGAAAGCGTGTTTTTTTAAAAGTACAAGGCCCCAAACATGAAAGAAAAAGAAGAAACAGGAAAATATACCGCTACGCCTTGTTCCCATATACACATGTATTTCCCCCTCACAAGACAAAACAGAGGCCCTGTACTCATTCTGTACCACTTTCTGATCTTGGCACTCAAAACAATCAATCCCATGTCACAAGCACATGCGCTTAGATACGGTGCTTCTCCGATTCTGCAAAACATTAGTCTCTGGTACCTCTCCGATTGAGATGAATCCACTCACCTAGTCGCGAGTACAGCATGTACAGCGCCATTTGATTGCACTCTTGTGTACCTGTAATGGTGACGAGACGCTCGTTGCTGTTGTCAGTAGGCTCGTTGATCTTGATGACACTGCCACTCAGCTGGCGGATTTCGTTGATCTTGGCACCTCCCTTTCCGATAATGGCACCAACCATGTCGTTGGGAATGAAAATCTGTTGCGTCAGAGGCTGTCCAGGGATGGAACCAACGGGCGCGTGAGGAGCGGCACCATGTGCAACAGGCGCCGCAGCCGGGTGAGCTCCATAGGGGGTGGGGGCAGCAGGTCCGCCATAGGGACCGCGGCTGGGCGAAGCAGCGCCATAGGGCATGTTAGGATGACCATATGGCGATTGCTGAGGAGGCTGGCCGTGCATGTGAGGAGCCCCGTATCCGCCGCCATGTGCTGGAGTACGCTGAGCAGGCTCTTGACGGCGGAAGTTCTGTGGGTGGGAGTACTGGCCTCCGGCAGGCTGGGGGACATATGGTTGAACAGACATGCCACCGGGAACAACGTTGGCAGCCATACCGCTGCGGGTTGCGTATTGGGAGGCTGCAGGGCCACCGAATCGCTCGGTCAGCTGCTCAACCAGAGTCTGAGCAACATAGTACACAGCAATGTGCACGGCGTCGGCAACACCGAGAACGATCAGCGAACGTTCGCCTGAGTTAGGAAGGAGTGTGTCGGACGCGTTCAACTTTGCATTGGAAGCCTCCTGGATTTCGCGGATACGAACGCCAGCCTTACCAATGATTGATCCGATAAGAATGTGGGGAATGAGCAGACGCATGGGGTACGCCTTGGATGTAGACGTCGAAGGGGTCTCGAGGTCCTCTTGGTTAAGAGTGCGTACAATGAGACCAAATGCCTTGGACACAGCATCGACTTGGCCGCTTACAGTAAGGATGCGTTCAACAGCACCTCGTGAATAGTCACTGACGGTGCACTTGGCGCCAGACAAACGTCGGATTTGGGTCACGTTCTCTCCGCCCTTACCAATAATGGTGGCGGCCTCGCTGGTGCCAATGCAAGCGCGTATATGCAGCCAGTTGGTCTCGTCGACCTGTTGGTTGGAATTTACAGGGCGTCCATTGGCACCAGATGTGGATTGGATGGGCTGGGTCTCAAGAATAGAGGGAGCATCAGGGACAACAGTGTCCGTCTGGATAGGCTCAGTACCATTCTCAACGGCGGGGGTTGCGACGGGTACCACCTTTGCCTGCTCTTCGCTGATGCCTTCAACAGCAACAGCCTCTGCTTTGACTGGCTGCGCAATGTCGATGGCGTCTGCGCTGGGGGCATCATCCTTGACCATTTTGTCGAGGGCAGGGCGCTTGGCATCGGGCTGGTCGTTGAGTCCGGCAGGCGACGAGGGCTCCTCGAGCGGACGCTTGGTCGAGGAAGCCGCGATGGTGGGTGATGCAGACATGGCTTCTATGTATGAGTTTCTGGGTCTTGAGTCTTCAACGGCTATAATACGCTCTTCACAGTCGACGAGCGCGCAAACGCGATGTTGAGATTGTTTCAATTGATCTCGATTATTTTTTGCGACTTATGTACAGCGGGGGCCGTGAAAGAAAGCGTGCTGTGAGGGCGGATTGGAGGGGACCGCGACAGCGCGGTGAAGGTGCGTGGAGGAGAGGTCGCCAGGAACGTGAACGGAGTTTTGGGGCGTGCAGAGGGTGCAGATGTCGGACAAGGGATGCCTCGACAGAGTGGGCAGTCGTAGGTGATGGTGTTGTGATGGAGCAGGAGAGTCGGGCAGGGTGAGTGGATGGATGTGATAGTGTGCTTCGCTCGGGGGCGATGGATGTGAGGTGAGGTCGAGAGATGAAGAAAGTGGCCCAAGTAAAGAAAGCTCGCCCGTCAAACCTTGTCGGCAGCGATCCGGTGTCTCAGATAAGGGAACGTCTGGTGTTGCGTGCCGTTCCTCCCGAGCAACAAGGCAATGGGTAGGAGAAGGGGGTTGATGAGCGCTGGTGATGGAGAAGGGGCTTGGGGCGATGGACGGGGTCAGCAAAGCGAATTGCGTGAGGCAGAAGGCGCCGGCGGAGCGAAAAGGAAGCTGTCGCGGGGAGGTTGGCGCTAAGTCTTGGCAGGTCACGTGCTGACGACTGCACTGTGCCAGCATACGCAAACACCAGGAGACACAGGCAACCTGCGAACGAGCTCTCCTTTCAAGCTTCAGCGTGCACTGCCCGGACGTCTACGAGCGAGTGGGGGTGAGGTTGCCGCGCGCCAGGTACGACGCGTCTGTTAGCGAAGCTGCGCGACCACCACACATGACACCAACCGCGCTGTAAAAGAGAATATGGCACAGGCACCAGACCAGGCTATCCAGCGGATACGAGAGTATGCTCAGGAGGCACGTAAGCTGCACGACGACGCTGTCGATTTCGACGCGTCTGACACGGAAGCTCGCCTGGCGCAGACGGTGAAGGAGCTACAGGCACGCGTACAGGAACAACAGGCAGCGCTGGACCAGGTAAGAAGAGACTGCAGCCACGGTCTCGTCGAGCATTGCTAAACGGACCACAGTTGCGGTCTCAATCCAATCTTGACCTGGACAGCATAGCCTATGCATCAGCGGATCCGCGTGAGAAGCTGCAACAACTGGTGGCAGTCAAGGATGCATATAAACGCTTGAAGCCGACTGCGACATATCTGCCTCCTCAAGGATCACTTCTGCCAGCGTTGTTAGCCGCCCGCAGCATCCAGCAGAACGTACAGGGAACCAAGGAAGCCATTGCCAGCACCCAGTCTCAACTTATTGCAAAAGAGACGGCTCTTCGTCGCGAAGAAGCTAATCTGCACGATGCAGACCGCCTCACGCAGGCAATGCAGGATCGTATCCAGCGATTACGCTCCCAGCACCAAGACCGCTCGCAAAAGACGCCTGCCCAGCTTGCACGTGAACTGATTGCTGCCAAACGCGCGCAGAAAGAGCATTCTGACGCGGAAATGCAGCGTCTAGGCGAAGCTATGAATGACTTCATCAATGACTACCTCTCTACCATGCTCGCAGCAGAAGAGCTCGGCGGGCCTGTCGTAGGCGACATGCTCGACGTAGACGACGACACACTAGCCGCGGGCTTCACCAGAAAAGGGCGGGCAAAATCTTCCAAAAAGCCTCCATCAGACAAGACTCGACAGCGCCGAATCGACCAAATCTGGGGGCCCACCAAGCCGGCTGCCGATCAAGATGATGATGACCACGAGGAAGAGCCACCACCCACCGAGGCGGAAGCAGCTGACGCGGAAATGCGGAAACTAATAGGCGATCTCTTTGCTACGCTCATGGGTCCGGGGGGAGGCAAAGCCTATGTTCAGCTCCAGAGAGATTCCGCGGCCTCCCGGTTCTTAGTCCGAGCAAAGATTGCCCAATTCCACCCCAAAGACGCAAACAAGTTACGTTTGATAGACTTTGGACGGGAACTAGACGATTGAAGGTGTTTTGGGAAGACAGAGAACCAGAAAAAAAAAGGGGGGGGGAAGAAGGTTAGAAAGCAATATTAACAATAACCACTCCAATGTTTACTACCCTTCCAATATACTGGGCAATGAAATCAAACCAACTCACCACCTCCCCCATTTTCCCTTTCTAAACCTAGCTGTGGCGGTGCAAAGCAACCTCCTTTTTCCTCCAAAGTCCATCTGCATTGCCAACCCGCGCCGGCGGCGTTCTCCCTCCCCCCATGTTCCTCTTTTCTTTTCTTTTTCGCTTCTCGCTCCCGCACTCAATACATTGGGACGGCTTGGGGGGGTCCCTCCTTCCTCTTTCTACGGCCCACATGCCTCTTCCGTACCAAAACAAAAACATACTCCCAAGCCTATAGTCTGGAAAAACACAAACCCCAACCCCAGTCCATGACGCTCCCGATTATGTCTCTCTCCCGTCCGAATCCAATTGTTCGGACCCCCGACACGTCGGTGGCCCCGGGACCTAAGCAAGGAACAAGGGAATAAAGTTCCCTCATTTGGCGCGCCCGCGCGCGCCCACGCCCGGCGTCGGCCAACAGGGTACAGAAGTAGTAACTAACTAATGTACCTTGTACACCTAGAATATGCATACGCATCTTTGCATCATGGGAGGGGTGGTACGGGCACTATGCTCTTTTGTGTTCTTTTTAGCCATAACTATATGCCGAAGGAATTAAGTATTTTAAACCAGGTCGCCTAATCAACTAAGCTTGACCAACGCGCGCGGCGCGCTCAGAGGAGAGAGTGATATAAGCATGTGTGTGTGGATCTTCCCGTCCTGGGGAGGGGGGGGGGGCTTTCCGTCGAAGAAGGGGAAAGAGGAGCAAAATCTGAATGAACAAATAGAAAAGTGTCATAGGACTGGGACGGGCCAGTGCTATCATTTTTTGTCGCCATAGACTAAGCATGAATACGCCTGTTTGCCTAAAAAAAGCCCTATTCCGGTCCTCATTGCGAGACGCAACTTTCCCCAGCCCTCGTATAAAAAAATGGATTAGTTATTCTGATTACTGATACTTTGAAGAGAGAGAGAGAGAAAAAGGTATAGTTTGTACATGTACTACATGTAAGCTAGACTTTAAGCGCCCGACACACAGAAACTCCAACATACTCCCTTGCACAAAACAAAGAGCATGGGTTCTTCAGATCCCGCATTTTGGGATAAATGGCCAAAAAGGTGCAAAAGGCACCAACCACACCTATCGGGGAAATTTATAAAAAAAAAACAGGGTGGAGGAGGGGGGAGGGGGGCGGCCAAGCAAAGCACAAGCAAATGCAAAGCGGACATGTTTGCCCATGGCGACTTTCTCTTAACAGATTTAACCTCATCTTGACTTACACATTGCTTACCTTAGTTACAATCCATGTAACTTGCTTCAAACTAATGCATCTCAAAGACCAACGTGGCTCCTGTACTTGAACATTGCTTAGGTACATAAAAGAAGAGGGGGGAGGGCGGCCGTATATTCCTTGAACTACTTACTACTATCAGCGCACACCCCCCCGCTCTTCCAATCGCCCAACCGGCAGTATTCCAGCCACATTGCATTGGCGGCTGATCGCATCTCCGGGAGCTGATTCGCTATGGGCGATGAAGCGAAATGAAGCCACGATTGCGCGCCGCCGCCGCCCGCTGCTGCTGCTGCTGCCCGCGGCATGGAATCCATTCCAAGGGGAATAATCTCCTTCGTGTTCTTTCATGTGCGTGTGTGTGTGTGTTAGCAGGCCTGCGCTGCTTTTACCCTTTTCTGAAAAATATTGTGATGCGGTAAAGACCGCCCTTCCCCCGATGTAAGCTTGATGGGCAGACATGGGGGCGTGTGCTTGAGATAGAGATACAAAGCGCGTGCGCGCGGGGGGATGGGGGGGCACTTATGTAAGTTGTGTACACACGGTATAGAAAAGAGAAAAATAGAAAGAGAGAGAGAGAGAGCATGTTCAAAAAGGGAAATAGAAAGCATGTGCGTGTGTGGTGTGAATCGTGTATACACATCTGTATCGTGGGAACGGAGATGCGTGCCGATCGCCAGGCTGATTACTTGCTTAACACACAGCGAACAGGTACCGGGCATCGGGAAGCGAGCCTTGTCGCTTTTGTGGGGAATTGGGAAAAAGAGCTGTGCTGGCAAACTGGGGGGTGCAAGCAAAGAAAAGCAAGATCGCCCGCTCATCGGGGAAGGGGGGGGGGGGGGGGGGAAGGATGCATGCTTGCGCTGTTTCCGGGCCTCTCTCTGCCTCTCTCTCTCTCTCCAATCTGAAACACTTCCTGCGGGTGATCAGAGTAAGGTTTGACCGCAGGTATGAAGTCATCATCGTAAGGATTTTTTAACCCCCCTCCCCAAAGCTGAAAAAGATTCTGCCCGTCGACGTGATCATATGCACACCTTCTGAATTTGCCGTAATTGGACACATATCCACCGCGTCCACGTGCGGGACCACCCCCCCCTCTCGGAGACAAGGGAGGGGGTCCTTCGCGGGAAAAAACAAACAAGGGAGGGGGAGAGGGGAAGCAGAAGCGCGCGAAGGGGAGTGGGGATTCGGGGCTGCTCCTCAGCTCGTCGCCTGTTTTTTTTCCTTGGGCTCGATTTTCTCTCTCTCCCGCTCACTCGGATTTGCGTCCGTGTGTTTTTTTCTCTCCCACAAGAACGGATATTCTCTCTGTTTGACCAAAAGAAGTAAAATGTCCAATTTTTTCCCTACCTGTCGCGTATACAAAAGTAAACTAAAGGGAAACGTCCTCCTCCCTCCCCCCGCCCCCCGAAGACACGGTACGCCGGTGGTAAAAATCAATATTCCCTCCAACCTACACTGGCGTTTTTGCCTTTTGTGAGCGAGCGAAGCGCGGGTATTGGCTTCTGGGATCGGTAGTCGTGCCGGCGCCTTGACTAGTAGGAAATAGATGCAACAATAGCCCCCCCTCCCCCTTCGAAGCGGTCTCCGTTTTCCTATATTTTACCCAGCTCATAGTAACACTGCTAAAGGTGTTACCTGACTCAATCGCGCCGGAGCCCGATCCACCAAGCGCGAGTAGCCTAATCTCCACGTAAACAAGACAAATCCAACCACCCCCATTCGCATGACTTTTTAGCTTCTGTGGAACAAGCCGTCATCTCAGCCGCCACAACTTACATGTGTCACCTCCAAAAAAATGCACTAAACTAATGGCTGATAAAGGCCGCGTTCCAATCTTGGAAGAGCGAGAGAGAGGGAAATGCAGTCCAATCGACGTTTGGGCACGAATAAAGTCTACAAATCTCACTAGTACGTAGTTGTTTTTGGACCGAGCCATAGCATGGGCAATCGTTCTGTTTGATCAACGGCCGCAGTCTGTTCAGTTAGCACAATGTACCAGTGCACACTACGATCTGCAAACTACGGCTGGCATGCTTTCATTACTACGGTACCGTAGTAGCGGGGTGCAACCAATCTAGAACTCGCAATGAGTTGATCCCTCGGTCATTCTACTGGGATTCTTCTGGTCCAAAGTGAGGCACCCACTCTAACATGCGATGTGATGAAGATCGTTTGCGAGGGGTACGTATTCGTGTGGCGGTGCGGCATCATCTTATCGTACCCTCGCCTCGGTACACCTACGTTATCCAAATGCCATATTTTTGAGTGGCAAAAGTCGTGCTAACGCCATGCGTCATTCGGGTGCGAGAGGCAATTCTGATCTCTGACTCAGAGCTTGTGACGACCTGCATATTACAAGCGTACCGCATAGAGATAGAGCAGTGTGGCACAGTCCAGCGCTCGCGAGCCGTTGTGGCAAAGGCGAAAGGGTCCAGCCACACTACCTCGCCACTTGCCAGACTCGCTAGATTACACAACGTGTCGATCTCTGACTAGACCACTGCCCGCCCATTGGCTCATGCATAACCTTATACACTTACATATGTGATGTAGAGTTTACTACAACGTTACCAAGCTGCTTTTTTTTAGACGGGAGCGTCGCCGACCAGCACACTGCGCCATTCTATTGGATTCTCGTGTATTCGCCATCGGCTCGACTAGCACCAGCTGGCTTTGCACACCTGACATATATACCGCCTCGGATTTCGCGTCCTGTTCTGTTTGCAGAGCCTGTAGCAAAAAAGAACAATGCTCAAGGAAATGGGCTCGAGTCCTCGTGCATCTACTAATGTTAAAGCATGGGGTTCCAGGAATGCCGAGCAACGGCTATTCGGATAGTCTGGTTCTAGGTGTGTACCTAGACCTTCATAGCCTATGCATCCCCATAGAATCGTTAAGCATGGGTGCCGTGTGCCGCGATCCGTGTGTATACCATCAGACCACCCGTGCATGAGTGCTCGCATAAACAACCATAAACTGCGAAGGTAAGGCTGTGGATTTGACGCAAACGACAATCGGTAGGATGCGCACATGTTTCAAGTGTACGATAAGTGAGGAGACGACTCGGCAACAACACCGCCTACCAGGTTCAATCGGCCCGTTCTTACTCGACACCTGTTCTGTAATTGCCAGCGCATCCTCCGCTCCCTGCTCCTTCGGTTTGTCTCCTCGGGCTCACGTGTGTCGTCGTCGTGATTCGTGAGCGGCTTGCTGCAGTATGACATCAAGTTTCGGGCGCGCCATCCTTAGGGCCGGAACGTGTTTTTGGCGGCATCGGCTACTCTACTCACACTACCCGCCAGCCCCCGCCTCAATTTCTTACTTTCAGGGGCCCCCACTTGAGCGTAGAAGGATGCGATATGCCTGTTTCCGATGGCCTTTTCCTCATGCATTTGCAAATATGATGCCTGTTATGAACGCCTTTGTTCCCCTTGAAGCTGATAATGCCAGAGCTGACGGTGCAAAGATGCGTTTCTTCTATCTCTCAGCCTAGCAAGCGCCCGTGGATAGCTTAATTTCCGGGGTTGGTGGTAGCGCGTCAAGGTTTAGAGAGTGCCAAGGCGTCGAGAGCATGCGAAGTGACATTTATGGATAAATCGTGATACGGAGACTTGCTCGGGTAGAAAATGCTTCGTGGAGTAAAAGAATGTCACTATGTCATAATGTTAGTGGAGTACGTGCGTGCGTAACATCCGGTCCAGCTTCGGTCGCACATCGCGCATTTTAAGACATGGGTGATTTGAAAATTTGACTGAAAAGGAAACAAAATCGGACATGTTGCGACAGTTCAAGGAGCGAAAAGACTTTGATTAGGCTTCCAGGGTAATCTGGGTATGTGCACTGTGGAAAACGAAGTAGCCCATGCTTGTTGTCTGTGTGAGAGAAAGCGAGAGAGAAAAGAAAAAAAATTACAACCCCCAACGCGCCCTCCTCGTCCTGCGTATGTGTATCTCGCCATGTGTTCGTAATAGATCGTCGATTTGCAATCTTAACCTCTGGGAAAATTGGAATGGTAATGGTATAATGGGTATCGTCGTCGCACCGAAAAGAAGAATAGAAAGGTATAGGACATAGGAAACAAAAGCAAACGCTCAACTCAAGCGCGTCATTTGGCCAAGGGCGCGACATGCCAAAATGGTCGAGTTGTGTGAAGCAATAGAAAAAAGCAAAAAGTCATGGCGACTCGCGTCATGCGATGCGAGATTCCAGGAGACGAACGGTACGGGTCATTACGGTCGGTCGGTTGCCGGAAAAAAACAGGGTATCAAGGTGAAAAAGGAACAGCGCCTTACTCAGTGATAGGCAAAGAAAGCCTTAGAAGAGAAGGCGTAGTTCGTAGCCAGTCGAATGGACGTTTTCGGTGACGCTGATATCTCCATCAACCTGAATGTCTGTAGGGCCGGCGTCCCACTCGCGCTTCATAGAATGCGCCGGAGGCGTGCCGATTTCGTGAAATTCAGCCGCCATGTCCTGTTGCTCCGGTATCTTGCTGACTGCATCATCGTCCATTAAGATTTGTAGTCCTTTCTGGTTAACGCGGATGGTCCGTGTCACCTTGCTAGGCTCAATCTTGAGCTTCATTGCGATGCCAGTGACAAGCTCCTTGACAGTGCGATCCATAAGGTATACCGCTCGGAAATAGTTGTCTTCTGGCTGGCGACCGGCAAGCCGGGGCTGCACGAAAAAGCACGCAACGGGCTTGAGCAAGGGCTCCGGTGGTGGCTGGTACGTCTGGTCAACGCCAAGAGCCTCGATCCATCCAGAAAGCGCGTGATCATCAGAATACGGTCGTTGGACTTTGGTTGGGACATCTGCGCCTCCGTGCATATTGACCATGCCCTTGAGATCACCAGTAGCGGTTTGCGGAAGATTTCGCCACTCGTTTGAAGACATGCGCGAGGGCGGTTGGAAGGGCTGCGGGCGTTGGAAAGAAGAGGCGCGACGTTTCTCCGACTGGAGAGATTGTGAGCTGGGCGTTGGGGATACCACGGACGAAGTCGATGTCTGTGGATCGTGTCCATCCCACATTTGTGCATCCACGTTGGTGTCCAGCTTGGAGAGATCGTGCGACGATGCGCCCAAGACAACTGGATGCAGATCTGGGTCGTCCTGTGCTTCTCCTTTGAGGTAGAGAACACTGACAGGTCTGGTCGAGCTGAACATGTCCTGCAAAGACGCCAGTTTGATGTGAAGATCTTCTTCAGCTGGCGCGCGAGCTCCTTGGTTGTCGCTTGTCGAAGACATGGACCAAGTCCGCTTGTGCTTGGGCACCTTGCCGGGTCTTTGGCTCATGGTGCCTTTGGAAATTGAGCCACTGCGCTTCCGCTTGCCAAAGTCTTTCATGCCAGACTCAACTTGGGCAATTTGCTGCTTGAGCTTGTCGATCGTCTTCTTGACGTGCGCAACATCGTTGGACAGTTTCCGCTCGGCGCCGTGGTCTCGGAAGAGCTTGACCTTGCAGTAGCAGAGCTCGGCTTCTGATCTCTGGGGCGATGATGCAGCAGTCTCGGTGACCAGCTCTGTCTTTGCGCAAAGTCGAACCGGGATGCCCTTGACACCTTTGGAATGGCTAAAGTCGGTAGAAAGGAAGTTGAAGCGCACAGCCAAGGAACACTCGGGCGAAGCATTGGGAACGGGCGTCCATGTGACCACGAAGCCGTCAAACGAGGATGATTCCAGTTCTACCCTGGGCCGGCCTTGGACTTCGCCGCCGCCAACTTGGCTCGGGTCGACGAATTCAACGGCTTGCAGGCGTCCACCGCGCTGATGGGCTTCGTTTGTGCCTCGGCCTTCTTTCCATAGTTGCCAGCAAGAGGCGGGTCGCTGGCGCTGCTGCTCGTCCTCGAATGAAATGCGAATAAAAGTCCTGTACTTGAGAGATGGCGAAGGGGCCTGGAGTGGAGCCGTGTCGACCAAGGAGATGGAGTAAGCTTGTCCCTTGTTTAGATACGTCACCGGGACCTCGTCTGGCTGCTTGACCATAGCTGTTGGCGCATTCAGAGTGACGTGGTATCGGAAGCTATGCCCATTAGTAGGTATTCCGCAAATGACACGTGTTTTGCAAACTCACTTTTGATTGGGTGGTGGGGGTGCAGGTGCGACTGCAGATGCTATGCTGTCGTATGAATGGGGTGCGAAGCCTATGAGAGGCGATTGCTCTTGCATCTCGACTTCTGGCACCATGTTGTCCATGGGCGAGTTCTCATGGGTTTGCTGCACCATGGGGCGCTGGTCAAAGGCCGAGGGCTGGTGGGTGAATTGATGGGGCGCAAACGACTGCGGATGCTGCATGCCAAAGGGATTGGCATTTTGAAAGTGGTGAGAGCCGAGCGCATGGTGGTTGAAGCCATGCAGATGCGCAGTAGGTGCGATCTGGCCGGCGTGAACTCCGCCTTCCGAGGTGGGCAGCGACAGTGGGGTGCCTAAGCCAAAGCTGAAGCCAGGCGTGTGCAGGTCGCCGGCCTGGCTGTGGTAGAGCGTGTTGGTGCCACCCGGAGTCGGGGTGTAGTAGCCAGGCGGCTGGTTGGCAAACGAGGTAAAGGCAAAGCTGTTTGGGTCGAGCAGCGAGGGCGTAAATCGCCAGGGCTCATTGTTGCCGCGCGGAGTGGGGTCCTGGTCCTTGATGTCCTCATGGCTGTCGGGCTGGCTGTTGAGGGGATGGAAAGTTAGCAGGCGGGTGTGCATGACTTGGTTGACATTGACAGGTCGGTGGTTGCGCGCAGATGCGTCCCGACCGATCGGAAATGCCATGTCGGGGAAGACGTACCGGGAGGGGTTTGCAATGTCCAAGACATCGGCGAGCGAGTGGCCTGGCGGCGCGGCGAGAGAATGCGAGCGCTGCTGGATGTGGGGGAAGTTTGCCTTGAAGTCCTCTAGCAGTTTCCCATCGGGCTTCTGGCTGTTCAGTCTGGGGGCGGGCAGTCAGCAGGCGGGTTGTTTTCGAGGTGCAGAGGCAGCGCTCGAACGCGACGCGCGCAAATCACATGCGAGCTTGGGCATGGCGGCGGGCGTGACGTACCGATTTCGAAACATGGCATCGGGCTTTCACTCGGGCGATTAGCAAGATGGAGATTCGGGGAGCATCTGGTTGACGGGCAGTGTTTGTGTTGGCGCGAGATGGGGATGGATGAGGCGGGGAGGGCGAGGGAGGGAGAAGGCGAGGGAGGCGAGGGAGCGAGGGAGGGAAGCAGCAGCAGCGTGGGAAGCGGATCTTGGGTTGATGAAACAGAGAGCAGCTGCCACGAGAAAGGCGAGCCTGGGAGAGTCAAGCCACAGGCCGTCGTCCAGGGCCGGTGGCCAGACGTCTTTTTAGCTAGCGACCTGCGCATCCACCATGGCCTTGACGGAATTGCTCGAGGGCCGCGCGTGGGCAAGGGTGGAGCATCGGGTCTAGGCACGCACACGTACAGGAAGTACACAGCTGCACATGCACACATCCACACATTCACATGGTCCCTGCGGGCCTGTTCCAACTCTGCCCTAGCTGGCCGCGGCGGCTGCTGCTGCTGCTCCACTGCTGTGTGCGGCGCGACATGGGCCCAGCCGACAGACGCTGCTCCCATGCTCGTCCCCAGCACACGCACACGCACAGGCACACAAGCGCAGCGCCGGCCGCCTGCACAGCCACGGCCCTACGGCAGACGCGAGCCGCCCTCCAGTCGTGCTGTACCGCATCCGGCCCCGATTTGCGCTGCAGCTGTCGCCATCCCGCACAAGGGCCGCCGGGCGTGCTGCTTGCCTCTGACCGACGCCATGGTACACCTCCTGTCTGTAGTAGTAGTCGTGGTCGGGGTCGGATACTACTCCTCCATGCTACTTGCGACTTGCTACATATGCCCCCCCCCCAGGCCAGCCAACATCCAGCCCGCCGCGCACGGGGCCCCCATGGTGGCTTCACCAAGCCCTTCCGTGTGCATTGCCGTAATTTACTCGTCCAGAAGCCCTCCGCTCGCGCGCTATGCCGTCTTGGTCGCCAGGCAATCGCATGGCGCCTACCGTGTGCGCTGGCTCCTCAATGCGAAATGACATATGCCGGCCAGGGCCCCGTTTCCACTCGTCGACCGACGCTGGTGCTGGCTGCGCGCTGACGGCCCTGGTCCGCTGCGCTGCGCTGCGCTGCACTCGCTCCCCTTCCACGCGACAGACGACGTCTCTGCCCGCTGCCCGCTTGTCCTTGCTGGCCTGTCCATGGAGCAATCCCTCCCTTGGCTGCTGCTAAGTATTGCTGCCACTGCCTGCTGCCGCCAGCACTCCCCTGCGTTTGCGCGCCGGATCGGAGACGAGGTTCCACCCCGCCAATTCGCCTCGTCGCCATGCCTGGCCGCCCATCTTGCCTGTGCCCACCCGCCAATCCCACAGCCGGCCGTTGGCGCCCTCTCGCTTGCCCTTAGCCAGCCCAGCCTCGCTGCCTGCCCGCTACCCGCCTACTCGGAATGGCCTTAATGCTCAACGTTATCCCATCACCTGTCAACCCGAGATTAACGACTGTGCTTTTTAGTGGGCGTTTGCCCGACGACAGCACTGCACCGTCCATCCAGAAACCCCTCCGCCGTGCTGCCCATGTCGTCATCACGCCGCTGCTCGGCCCTTTGGCTTCCTGCACCCTGGCCAGGCCCCAGAGGGTCAAAATTTCTGACCATCCCAGCAATCAGACGTCACTCTCTCCTGCGGTTACACCCACCGCCCGTCCCGGTTGGCCATTGCATCCAATGCTGACACTACCGGGCCAATCGCTCGCCTCCAGCAGTAGTCATCCGGCACCTGCAGTAGGCGTGGTAATCCCCATCTCCAAGCAGACGCTTCAATGCACACAAAAATAAGTGTGGCAACTCTGCCTGCAGCTGCTGATCGACAACGGCACCAGTCCACCACTTACCCTGCTCTGCTTGCTGCTCTGCGCCGCAATCCCTTCGCAATGTTCCCCCCAAGCCCGCCCTGCCGTGCATGTGCATGCTTCTGATTGGCCCGACCCACCAAACACTCGCTGTGGCACAGACCCACTGCTCGCCACACTCGCCACACTCAGCGCCACACTTGCCGATCCATATCCGCCCAGACAAGCAGATGCCGTCGCAACGCGTATGCTTGCAGCACCGTGACATCCAACACGACGGCGTCTTCGTAGGGCTGGACGTTCACCACATGAGCTCATCCACCGTCACTATTAGTCCGGCTCACGACGCCCCAAACTATCTGCTCTTCCGCGCCGCCGTCTTTTCGTCCAATCTTCAATCACCCTGTCTTCTCTCCTGAAGCATGCATTAGCCACTTACACAACAACAAGGGGACAAAGTCCAGAAGCTTCATCTCTCTCTCTCTATCTTCTCCCTTTCCCGTGCCACTATGATGCCATAGACTTCCATCAATGTCCAAATAAAAAACGCCTCGCCGTCATGGTACCGGAAGGGGGACCAAACGTGATACACAGGAACATTACTGCGGGTACGTAGTCAAACGTAAATCCCGCGCGCCCCTCCCCCCCCTTCTGATCTCAACTTCCTTACCCCTTTGGCCACCAGTTTACTCATCTCGCTAGCTTGTCCGGCCACTAAGATTGGTTATTTACCTAGCAACTTGCAATTTCACTACCCATCCCCCATGGCATTTCGTCTTGTCCAGACCCTCTTGGTCTGTAACCAGCAGCCGCCCGGCAAGTCAAACGCCCAGAACATCGCCCGCCCCTCCGTTTCATACCATCTTAGCCATTGCTTGTTGATACGTAGAGCATAGAGCAAGTGCAGGTGATGGCCATGTTGAACCATTCTCCCTCTCTCTCTCCCCCTCCTGTGTGACATACTTGATCATCCTCTCAGAACCTCAGCGGTCCGCCTTGTGCTACCGTCCAATCAATATCAAACTGAACTGCCTGGATGAAAACCACTCGTCATCCGCTGTCCATTACGCAAAACCCCTCATCCACATGCTGCCATGTCCTCCGACCCTTTATCCTCACCTTCCCCCGAGCCTTGCCTGTTGTGCGTTGGCGGTGGCGGCATCATCGTCGATTTGGTGCCACTGGTTTCGCCACGTGATGTATAATGTCCGGCCTTCCGTATGATCGCTGTTGCTCCGGCCTGGGAACCGCTGTCGAGTCCTGTGCCGCTCGAGTCATCCCTGGAGACGGACAAACATGACCCTGTGCGCCAACTGGGAAGGGAGCTATTCCTACTCGAGTCCCGTGGCTGAACCCTTCCACTCCCCACCTCCTCACGGAACGCTGTCAGCACACTGGACCACGACCCACGACGGCTCTCTTGATACTTGGTGTCCATCAACTCTGGACTTGATGCCGGGCTTCCTTGACGACTACGACTCGGGCTCGGGGCCGGGCTTGGGTAATTTGACATGTTGCCAAAGTCTGCGCTCGAGCTCTGTGTCGACCGTCTTGACCTTTCTGGCCGTGTTACCGGTGTGTAACGTATGGCATGCGAGGAGACGTGCGCGACAGAGTCCTCAGGCCCTTCATAGTCGGCATAGATATCATCTAGCGTAGCTTCCTCAAATAGGGCTTGTAACTCGTCTGCTCCTGGCTCGAAAGAGAACTGCCGGTGATGTCCTTGCTGCGTACTGACTTGTGGTTGCGAGTGGAGCCTGCCTGCAATGCGCGTCTGTGTCACATCTTGTCCCAAAGGCTGCTTTTTGATGTTGATATCTTGCACAGTTACTGGGTCTGCATCTGCTTCATCATCGAGCATGACAGAGGCTTCTTCCGACATTGACTGTGAGAGTAGCATCATTAGTTTGTGGTTGAAGCTGTCCGGCTGCAAGCCTCGTCGCCTTGCCACAAGCGTGCCAAGCTCACGGAGAGCGACGAAAGCATTACACTCGGTGGCTGGCTGCATGTCCGTCTGATGATGAATTGACGTCTCGTCTGATAGTGCATCACCGGATCCTTCCGAGAAGACAGAGCCAGCAGAATCTGTGACGGATGATGACAGCCGAGTCTTGTGCATCGTAGTCAAGTCTAGCTCGCTCTGAACCTGGCGTGAAAGCGTAGTTTTCTCCGAGTCAGGAGGAGTGCCAACCACCAATTCTGAACTGTCAGAGAACCGCTTAGATAGTACCGCCATCTTGCCGGAAGGGGACACCGGTCGGCCACGAAGTACTGGATGAATTAGACTGGCTCTGAAATTTTGGTGAGCCATCATCTACGACTTGCCTTTCTCACTCAAACGGTCGATTTCTGCATCGAGCTTTTCTTCGGGAAGTAGCCTGTGGTCTCGTGCGAAGCTGTCGTGCGAGCTGGTCTTTCTGTTCCTCCGCTGACGATCCACGACACTTCCCTGGCGCGCTTGCACAAGTCTACAGTAATTAGACCAAGCTAGTCAGAGCGCAGCGCATATACTGACCCCGTCATGCCACTTGTACCGCGGGCGATAAGTAGCTCGAGCCGGCGTATCTCCGCATGGTATCCGTCTTCCAAATACGACCAACTTGCCTGTGCTTGTGACCAGTCCCGAAGCGTCTCCTCTAGCAGTATCTCTAGGCGCCCCTTCTGGTCCCGCGCCTTACGATAATCCTCGAATACGCGGAGCAGGCCACTGTGGTGCTCCGTGGGTATTGGAGACGATGCCCTGGTAATATGCAATCGAACGGACTGGGTCACAAGTAGTGGATCAACATAGGCCTCAAACGGCCGTGGTGACTCTTCACCCCATGGTTCCGAAAACTCGGGCGTTTTCGTAGTGTCCTTGAACGAGGAGAAAAGTGAGGTATATCGCGAGAGCTTTGGCTTAGAGTCTCGATACAACACCGGCATCTCCAAACGCTCACCCCGCCCATCTTCAATGTCTTCGACTGCAGGAACTGCAGTCAGGGTACTCACCGGGGTTTGTGGTCTACTGCTGTGCAGTGTCTTTAGCCAGCTGGGTTGACGAGATCTGTCACCTTGGTCTTCGGTAGCTATGGAGCGTTCGCCGTCAGATCTGAGCGAAGAGATCTTAGGTTGCTTCTTGGGGTGTTTACTGTGACCTAGACGCCAACCCCTACCATCTGGCATGTTGTTTTCACGTGCAAGCTCTCTTGATAGGTGAGTGGCTACAGAGAGCCCGGGGAGTTGCGCGACGTATAAGTCCATATCCTCGACAGGTCACAATTGCCAGTTGAGTGAGACTGCGGAAAGTGGTCGTGATAAAGGTGATTGTGGTGACTGCCGGGCAGGTGCTGCCGCGGGGCCAGCTCTCACCCTCACTGCCCTGACTTACATCATCTGGGGCTCACCTTCACCACATATGGTGCCAATGTAGCCAACACCTTCAAGGCTTTCTGACTGTTGATTCTGGAGTGAAGTCAACTTTTCAGCATCTTTACTGCCCTATGCAAGCACAGCGGTGTCATTGTTGCTCATGCCGTCTTCTGGACTCGACACAGCGCCTCGCGTTTGTATCGCGCCGTGCATCCAAGCCCCCTCGATGAAAAGTATGGACATCCAGAAGGCAAGCAGCCATGAATGCCGCACTAGAGCTCGCGCCATGTCAGGGTTTGGAAAGAAGGGAAAAATATTGCTAATGTCGAAAGGCGCACGAAGTGGCCAAGTGAGCGGTGCGATGTCCTGCAAGTCCATTCAACGTTCCTTGGGAGCATACATACTGATGGCTACTCTACAAATTTGTGTGTTTGTCGCAACCACGAGCGACTATATTCGCCAGTCGGGGTGTCTTGACGTTAAAATGGTTCGGCCCCAAAACGGCTAGATAGGTACATACGTAGTTACTACTTAGTAGTAGCGAAAGCTGGTCCACCGGGGCACTACACTCGAACCACTTGAACCTATACTTCATACTTGCATCGCAACAAGACGTCGCTAGCTTACGCGCATTCCTGATCCGGAGAATTATTAGGCCCATAACATATGCCCTAAGGATTCGTTTGTATCGCATAGCCGCCTCCAGGATCGTTGCCAAGGGACACAATGTTCCGTGTTTCGGTTGAGTTTGAGTACTGTTTCATCACACTCGAACCGCCTAGCAATTGCGATACCCTGGCTGAACAGCACTGAGTCTAGAACTTTGTTAAGAGACTGTCAGTATAAGGATATGTATAGTCGAAGTGGTGGTGCGTAATACCGAAATTCGAGGTGATGAGTGTAAGACGGAGAGTCGGGATGAAGAGCGTACGTAGAGAGGGCACTGCAAGGCTACCATTGCATGACATGACTTCAAATGCCTCAGTGGCACCATTTCGACAATGTCCAACGCAGCCAGACGCGCGTCTGCTATAATTCGGGCAGCCATCGACACGTCTCTGACAGCCTTGACACAGATGGCCAGCTCGCATCCCCGACCGTGCCCACCCCGCAGAACACCAGAGCTCCACTACCCGCCAGGCGTGCAGGACAGAAGGCAGTGCATTCGCCCATACACTGCCAAGATGGTGCCAGGAAGATCTAGAATCCGGTTTCAGTCTGTCTGGTTTGAGGCACCAAGTGAAATATACGAGGATAATGTGTGATTAGCAGTGATCCTGGACAAGCAAGGCGTTGTATTGCGTACATGCCTTTGTCTTGTCGACATTTATAAGACAACGTCCCGACGAGGCTCCAAGGTATTCCATTCTTCAGCCTCAAACCCATTCAACTACATTTCTCTTCTTTATATTCACTCTTTGTCGCAGTGCGACTTTTACCATCTCACACATCCGTTTCGACTTTTCCTTGAACTTCGGCGACTGCTACTCTACTCGAATACTCTCGAACCCAACCGTAATCACCTAAACACTATTTTCAAAATGAAGTTCACCATTGTCGCCACCATCATCTCCATGGCTGCTTTTGCCGTTGCTGCTCCCATCGCTAGTGAGGGTACGTCTCCGCGCGCAATTCCTCCGAGATGAGAAAGGAAGAAGCTAACAATATGGATAGGAGTCGCTGCCCGTCAGAACCACGGCATGTGCGTCAAGTCGGTCAATGGCGAGGTTACCCAAATTCCCAACTGCTAGATGTGATACCCCAAGCGTGGAAGGACAAGATGGAGTGTGGCGAGAAGGAGGACTGTGGTGGAGGGTGGAGGTGGACAAGTAAAGAGTAGAGACAGCGTGCAGCAAAAAGACACAAATATAATATCCAAAGCACCTAGGCTGCGCCCATTACCAGACCTCGAATCATTCATGGCAGTAAGGCCAGTATCTTCTACATACATACAAACTGTGCATTTAGTGTTGGACGTATTCCCACGGCAAGACAACGAGACACATGTCAGAAGCGTCAAGCAGAGGCAGAGACGACAGTCTCCATCCTTGTAGCTACAGCGCTACCACTCGTCAAGCGCTAGTCGCCGTTTTGTTGGGGTAAGTACATGCTCGCACTCGCCCACCCGGGTTGATCCTTCCACGTTTCGCGATTCCCATACTCGGCATGGCGCCGAAACGTAGACGCTTGGAATACAATAGTTTCGTTCGGGCAGCCCGCCCAAGGGCTGAGCGGGAGAGGAGCTATAGTGGAAGTGTGTGTGCGTGTGTGTGTGTGTGTGTGCTATGGCGCTGGCGAAGGCAGACTAACAAGTCCTGACCAGCCGCTACTATGGACAGGTGATGCGCTAGACAGGCCGACCGTTGCTCATATCCAATACGACTAAGCAGACCCTGCGTCTCCTGCCCCGTTGCAAATTGGGACTGCAACCCCACCGTCGACGTCCAGGACTGCGACATGTGCCATTGACGGTCGTATGCTTGCTTTTCCCCGTACTGCACCAGTGCGACGTAGCTGCGGAGCTCGAGGCCCCGTGACACACCAAGCGATGGCGTCAGTACGCAGGACCGGCCGGTGGACATCCTGCTGGCACCAAGCGAGATGATCGTCCCCAGGATGCACAGGTCGAGCGAACTGGCTGCATTTCCGTGGATTGCAACTGACTGACAGCACCTGTCTGCCTCGACGCGTTGCATCTTATTAGTCCCTACCAAGACGGATCCATCTCCCAGTCTCCAGGCTCCCATGCGCAACCCCAGCAGACTCACATCGCGCCCGCTCTCCGTTGGCCATTCCCCGTGCGCGCAATGCGTGTCTAGACGCAGCAAAAGGAGCGGTTGCTGTGTTCCGGCGCAGTATGACGTTGCCCAAGACAAAAATGCCAGGCTTTGAGGCCAATCTTCAGCCACCGGCCCTCTTCAGGAACGGGGCCCCTACCACGCCTTAAAGACATGTTTATCGTGAACTGCACTCAGGGCACACTCCTACGGCTTCAATTCGGCGCCTTCCATGGACAAGCTAAAGCTCAAGGCGCGTACGGCGCGCAGCAGGCTCGCTGGTGCTTCTTCGTCTGCACCTGACACGCCTGAGCAGACTGCTCCACAACAATCGCCCGTACCACAACAAAACTCGAGCACACACGCCCTCCACGAGGGCACTTACGCCCGGGACTTTGGTGCGCCCGCCGACCAACAGCCCATCGTCGAGCCCCCTACTTCACTACAGTCGTCCATTGACGCGGGCAGCCATGTGCCCAAGCCCTCCAGGGTCAGCGACCCGTCGTCGCATGTTACATACCAGTGAGTCTTGGCTTTGGCGAAGCAGCAAGGCGCAGTGACTGACATCCATCGAGGACGCTTGCAGCACAGCGCGCAAGGAGCAACTCTGCGCCAAACAGAGGAACCCCGCCATTCCAGCAATACCCACGCCGACCCCAAGCCGCCCGCCAAACAAGCATTGGTATCCGTCGCATGCCCTCGTCGAGTCCCCTGAGACAGACCGTTCAACCACCAGCTTCATCCACCCCAAGAGCAGGCACGCCCTTGCCTGCGCTCGACGAAGAGCAAGAACTAGGCCAGCTCCCGTCCAACAGCAGCCAGTCCACCCTCACCCATACCAACTCGGCACCCGAGCAGACTCGCCTGCGGAGAATAAAAAGCGCCGTCCAGCTTAGGATACCATTCTGGGGCAAGAAAGATGAGGAAAAAGCACCTGCAGCCGGCCCCAGTGCCACGACCGCCCAAGACGACGGAGCAACCAACTACAGTTCAGGCATGGTCGACGTCTTGGATACGCTTGACCCTGAGGTTGCGACCCTCACGTCTTTGACAAATATGCAGAATTCACTCTTCGTCCCCAACCTGCCCTTTCTCAACCGCCGGCCTACTTACAACCTGCGTCGACGAAAGAGTGAGACGGAGAGCCTCGAGGAGATCAACCGCATATTGCAACCTGCCTTGGCTGCTCAGGCACAGGAGCAGCAAGCCGCCCCGGCTTTGCAACGCTCTCCAACTCAAACTACAGCGACGACCATGATGACAATAGACTCGCAGCTGACGAATTCACGATATGCCGTGCTTCCTGAGAACACTGACTTGTCTGGATGGAGCGTTGCTGATAAGAAGGAAGTCAATGATCATGTGCGACACATGCTTCATTCACGGCGATCCAAATTGAAGCGCTCGCTTAAGGGCTTTGGACATTATGTTCGCAGACGTAAGTGCATGTATTATCAAACACTTGGTATTCCTTCTCACTCACACACACACAACAGCATTGGGTTTCCTCGTCACTCTCTATGCAGCGCTTATCACTTTGTTCGGCCTGGCCTGGGTGCTGTTCTTAATTGGATGGATCAATGTCGGTGGACAACAGATTTATGTCGTCCACATCATTGACAGCGTCCTGGTTGCCCTCTTCGCAATTGTCGGAGACGGTCTCGCTCCCTTCCGCGCCGTAGACACCTACCACATGATCTACATAGCACACTACCATCACTACACCTGGTCACGCCGAAAGAAGGACATGCTGCCTGCTCTAGCCGACCACAACGACCTGCCTGCCGAGCACGCCCCTGTATCTGGACCCAGAACTACCGATCCTAACGACCCAGAGAAACAATGGGAGTTTACCGTATTGACACCTAAACAGCAGGAGAAGCTCGAACATCACCAGAGCAAGTTCTGCAAATCGCACTCCTTCTACAAACCCCACGAGACAGAGACCCACTACGCGTTTCCTCTTCGTTTCCTGGTCGCCATCGTTGTATTGCTAGATTGCCACTCACTCCTCCAAATCTCCCTCGGCGCATGCACTTGGGGTATCTACTACAAGAAGCGACACTTTGCCATCACTACTGTCATTCTCATTTGCTCCATCACCTGCAACGCCACAGCTGGTCTTTTGATCTGGCTTGGCGACAAGAGGACGAGGAAGAAGGATGTCCTGGAGCGCATGAATAGACAGGAGCTGACGGAGGAGGCAATTAAGGAAGTACAGAAGAAGAAGGAAAAGGAAGGTGAGAGCAGCAGCGACGAAGCCGGGAAGGAGTCGGAGAAGAGGAGGATTAGTCTGGATGCCTTTAGGCCCAGGAAAAGTATGGATAAGGGAAGAAAGAGTATGGACAAGGGAAGAAAGAGCATGGACAAAGGGAGGGCGAGGGAGCCGGGCCAGACTGAGCAAAGCGCATATCCTTGAATGATTTTCGTTGCATGTCGTAATTACCTAATAGTCCTGTTCTTCAAGCGTACCAGCGTTGAGATACCAATCTTGCCTTTTAATTACAGACTTTACCATCCAACCAGTCCTGCTCTTTTGATTTGCATCCGCGTTATCAAACACTCCACGGCAGGGTTGTATCTGGGCTTTCTTCTCCCGGTGGAAGTGCCAAACGTAACTGATGCTTGACTTGGTCTGAAACAGCCTGTAATTGGCATTGCATACCACTGTCTATCCGCAGCTTCAGTAGAACAGGATGAATATATGAACATGTGTTTGACTAGTTACAGTATTATAATCTCAATATTGGATAACGAGGTAGATTGGGAGGACACCCCCATTTCAATTAAGATTCACCTAGTGCAGGAACGCTATGATAAATGAATTATGTATACTCGAATTATAGCAACGACGAAGAATCTTTAATAATGAAGTTGCACATCTCAGAATATTTCTCTCATTTTCGACTTGAACGTCTTGCAGTGCATTGGAGATATCCCTATAGGTCCAGTCCAAAAGATTTAGCTACAGCCTACAACACATTTTCTCAAACTGCCTCAATGGAGCCAGACTGGTATTCAATGTGTGTGTGTGTGTGTGAAAGCGGGGTCAACGACAAAACGGAAGGAACGAAGCAAATAGTGTTGCAGACAGTCGTGGTGATAAGTCATTCCGGTCACGGGACCACGCGTTGCCGTGTATTTCTACGAGGAAAGAGCAACGCCTGTTTTGTTCTGCCCTGTATCCCCTCTTCTCTTACTTTCGTCACTCCCCTCCTATCATCGAGGAAGTCTCAGTGCAAAACTTGCAAAGAAATTTCTCACCCTGAGATACACCTGTGTTCTCAAACCTTGCCAACCTCATCCTTTTCCATCACAATCAATCGTTCAGTTGACAGTATGGGTGCCTGGGGCTACTGTAAGGGAAATGGACACTCATTCGTGTACACTTTTAGACTGACATTACCCTAGGCCTATTCCAGTCCGACCATGACTTCGACGTAATCAGTGAGATGAGCCACGAAGCCGGCCTTGCCAAACTCGAGGAAGACGCCCAAGCTCGAGCAAAAGCAGAAGGCAAGAGCGATAAGGAAGTGAATTTGATATACTATACCATCTACAGCAACGATTGCTCAGACCCTGAGCTTGTTCGCAAGCACCTCGATTCAGGCGTCCTTGTCGACATGATTGCAAAGAAGGAGTCGAAGATGCTGTCTAAACTCGATGGATCGCTGGATCAGAGGCTCGATTACTTGACTCGGGATCCTTGCTACGCATACGTTCTGCTCGGCGCATGTGCCATGACACTCGGTTGCCAGCTTCCCGAAGCTTATGTTAGCATGCTGAAGAAAGTCTACACTGAGGGCGGCATCATGGCGGATGCGCAACGTCAGATGAGGAAGGCCCTCTTTGGTCCAGGTGGCTACAAGAATGGTAAGCCTTACGATTTCGAGTCCAAGACACTCTCGGAGACGGCCGATTCTTCTGCGACCGAAGAGCACGATGTCAACCCCCTAGGCTTTCGTCCGTTGAATGTCCTCAGTCCAGGCGGCTTGTTCGAGACCGGTATGACCACATCGACAACGTCTCTGATCTTGAAAGAACTTCGAGCACAAATCCATGAGCCTGACGCATGCGGTGGCTGTGGTGCGGAACACAGAGCTGGTGGTAAGGCTCTACTTATGTGTTCCAAGTGCCACAATCGAAAGTACTGCTCTGTCAAATGCCAGAAGAAGTCCTGGAAGGTCCACAGGAAGGTGTGCGTGCCTCCAAAGGCTTCTGCCTAGACATCCAGCTGCAGAGGGATGGCTACGACAGCAGTATCTGCCATAACTTCCAAGCCCATTGTAGCTACCACCGCTATATTATGGACACTTTGAGGGCGATCAACGACTATATGAAGCTGATATTTTAGTGGTGAATGCCATACAAAGGTGTTGCTATTCGAGAACGATGTGTAATGACTTGAGCTGTCTCTCATCACGAGACATGATGACGGGATGGAAGAGTGCCACTCAACGAAACGCTAGTATGATTACTACTATACATAGATGGAGCCTTTCAGCCATATTAGTTATATACCTTAATGAATCGTCGCAATCGCATTTTCTTCTTTCTCTCTCTACTATTCATGAGTGGATACCTACAAGATAGATTATTCTGTCGCATGGTATACCAGTGCAAAATGAGTTAATTCAAGTCGTCCATGGATCGCAATCACATACTATCAAGTAGCTCAAATATTTATATTCCGAGTACAGAGGGGCATGGCACACGCATGATATAGGTGCATACTTTTCTGAGCGTATTCGATTTGCTCACTTTCCAGCGCTGAAGCAGTGCGCCACTACGTCAAGAATTTCTATGATGCGCACATATGAACACGCAACAACCATTGTTGATATCCCGATGGGAGATTATTTTTTTTTGAAAAAAAAAACAACCCTCCAAATACAACGCCGATATCTGCAGTGCAGTGCAGTGCAATGCTATCGCTCTTTGAACCCCTAAACGCCCTGGAAACCATGAATAGTGTTACATTTATCCATCACAAGAATGAGTTGCTGGAGGAAAACACCAGTTGATACCACGCACATAGCCGTAGTATATACATGGCAAAAAAAACTATCCCTCTCCACACAACGTCCTACACGCACACGCACGGGCGCTTGACGGGAATGCGATCAAGCAATGCCGAAAAGAGAGACAAGAGCACTACTGCAAACCCGCCTTGTTCGTCTTGACCGTATGAGGAATAGGTTTCAAGATACCCTTGTTATCCCCAGCACCAAGAGCGGTACCCGTAGACCACCCCATCTTCATCATCAACGCGTGACCCCTATTCTCAGGTCCCAGCTCCGGAGCATTTGCACCGACTGTCTCGCCATCCTTGTAGCCCAGCTGAGGCCGGCTGCGCGTACCGCTCTGCTTGTGCTTGACGGTCGAGAATCTGCCTGCGCGTCCGGCACCACTAGCACCCTGAGGGTAGAGAGGGCCACGTAGACGCTTCTGGAAGCCCTTCTTTTGGATGGCCATGTCGAATTCGTTGTCGGTGTATGTGCGGGTCCGAGAGGTTTTGGAAAGAATGGTAAATCTGTCCATGCCGTCGCCGCGGGAGCGAGAGTTTAGGTTGAAAAATGCCGCGGCTTGGTGAATGGTGGCGCGGCGATAGGCCTCCATGGGAGGTAGCGAGAGTGTCTGCATGTCGCCCATTAGGAACTCGCGTATTTCTTCAACAATGTCTTCCATGTCGATGCCGCCCTGGTATTTGACCTTGAGGTTGGGGCCTTTGCCCTTTCTACCCAGCAAGCCCTGCTGACGTAGCTCCTCACGCTCCGCCTTCTTGAGGCGCTTCTTTGCTCTGTCGGCCTCCCAAGCGTTTTGGAGCTGTTCGTTCAAGTCAGAGTCGTCCAGTTCCGGCGGTGGCTGGCCGCGTCGACCTTTCTTCTTTGGCTTTAGTGATGGTCGTTCGGTATCCATGATATCAAAGCCGCCATATGGGTCCATTTCAAGAGCTGCAACCATTGCAGATGCCGATGGGAATGTCGGATCCTTGTGACCGCGCGCACGACCTCGCTGCTTCTTGTTCGGTTTACCGTAACCACCAAAAGACGACTTCTTGGTGGGGCCTGGTGCGTCGAAGAAGTCGTCAGCACCGTAGAGAAGCACTTCGTCAGCGCCTAAGCCGAGCTCTTCTTGTTTTTGTAGGATCCTGGCGATGGTCTCATCATCTAGTTCTTCGGCATATGCGTCTTCATCGTCATCGTCATCCTCGTCGTCACCCTCATCGTCCTCATCTTCATTCATATCTTCGTACTCGTCTGCGGAATCGCTGCTTGCGAGCATTTGCTGCTCACGCTCAAAGGCCTCGGCCTCAAAGGCTTGGATCATTCGCTTCTCAGTAGGGCTTTTGAGAAATGTAGCTGGCAACCAACGAGCGTCATCGGTGATAGAACCTTCGTAGACGCAAAGATAATGAAGGCCAGATTTACGGGTCCGTTTGGACAGAATGCGTACAACGGTATCCATGACGTCGGATGAGGTGCTCATATCCTCGAAATCTTGCAGCATATCCGAGTCCCAGTCTTCACTGCCTTGATCGTCATCTCCGTCGTCTTGACTTCCAGATGCTGGTTCCCAGTCATTGTGACTGCCTCCATCCAAATCCATTTCGCGACGAGCAAAACCAGATGCAGCTAACAAATCGTCGGTAAAGCCAAACTCTTCAACATTCTGCATGTAGTCATCCATAGCCGCATCACGCGAATTGGCATTGTCCTGCAGGAGAGCCTCCATATCGGGACTTTCCGAAACGGGTAGCCACCCAATTTTGGGTTTACTGCGGTGTTGCCACTCGGTGGTGGTGCCCTCCCAGGCAGGTCTGTCACCGCTCCGTTTTGCAAACTGACTCTGATCTACATCGTCAGGATCCGACACTGTCTCTTCTTGGATCTTAGATACACTGCTCATGCTGATGCTGAGCTCTACAGATACTTGGGTAGCAGCTGTCTCAGTAGGTGGTACAGGTTCATCACTTATGGAATCCTTTACTGTAGTAGTGGCAGGCGGTGCTGGAGTTGTGTTTGCAGCAACAACAGGTGCATCTGGATGCTGAATATACCGCCCTCTGAAGAGAACCTCATCGGCACTTGATGAGGCACTTGATGAAGCATCTGAAGGCGCAGGCGATGGGCTGCGAATGGCCATCTGTGCCATGGCTTCAGCGTTGTCCGGCGTGGGAGATGGCAAAGAAGGCGTAGCAGACTCCGAGCTGGACTGGGAGGGGTCTTCTTGGGCAGACTTGACATCGGGCAAGTTCTCCTTCAGGGTACCTTGGAGATGTCCAGCGCTTACGAATTGAATCGGCATGTGACGTAAATTGTTGCCTTCTCTGAGGGCGGCAGTGCGGTGGTTTGACCTCCAACGGGCTCCATCCTTAAGAGAGAATTTAGATGGGGTTTCTGGTGGCACAAACGTATCCTGGTCGTGGAGAGCCCATGATTGCGAAGGGCGTTTGGTGGGCGCACGGTGCGGAGTGCTCTTCGCTGAACCGCCCTTGGCCTTGGTCTTGCCCTTCTTCTTTCCACGGGACATTGCTGCAGAAGTGCACCAGGTTGGCAGGGGGAGCGATGTAGAAGGGAGTGGTGGCGACACAGCGGCGACGGCGAGGTTGAGCTTTGGATTAAAGATGATGCGCACTTCCTAGTCCACTTGGCGTGGGGCTAGTCGGAGCTTATGACGATGCGCCGATTATGCAAGCTCGCAGTGCAAGCCCAAGCTGAGCAGGACAGTGGTGTACAGAGTGCGTTCGTGGGCTGCTCTCTGGACAGCTTGGCCCGTATTTGGATAGACAGGCAGCGATGTGTGCATGTAGCAACACGTGACTGGTTGCAAGCTGTCATGCTGTAAGACGTTGGTAGACAAGTGCAGTCTAGAAGCGTGTCGGAGCTCGGGATAGCCCAGATAATAGCCAGGTGATAGCCACCCCTCCCCCGCCACAACCTTGGTAGAGCCGCATATGACCTGGAGCTCGCCGCAGCTCCCACTCCACATTCTGCGTTCCATATCGCGCAGGGGCTCCATCTTTGCTGCAAGACGGCCGTTACTGCTCAGATATCCAGTGCGAATACCCACGGCACAATACCGACACACATGTAGCCAGCTCTAGGCAGCCTCATCTCGGACCTCCGCATCACCTCCGCACCCAACGGCCGCCTAGGCCCTCCCACCACCTACCCATCATGCACGACTTTGAGCGCGTCAGCCGCAACATCGTCCGCACCTTCTACGACCCTCCACCTACAAACGACTCCAGCGAACCCATATGGCTGCTGGGCCAGCGTTACGATCCCCGCCCGCCACCAGCTAGGCCTCCGCCTAGTGATGCCGCGGCCGCCGACGAACCCACTCCACCGTCCGAACGCAACGAGGATGAAAGCTGGATACGCACAAGCATCGACGTTTCTGAACGCAAGGAAGCTCCAAATGGCGAGGATCCCGCACAATACGGCAACTGGCCGTCGGCATTTCTCGATGACTTCGAGTCGCGCATCTGGATGACCTATCGCTCAGGCTTCATGGCGATACAGAAGAGCCAGGACCCAAAGGCAACAAGCGCTATGAGTTTCCGTGTTCGCATGCAGAATCTGGCATCCCCAGGCTTTACCTCTGACACAGGTTTCGGCTGCATGATCAGAAGCGGACAGAGTATCCTAGCCAACGCACTGCAGATACTACGCTTGGGCCGCGACTGGAGATACCAGGACAAGCCCACCGCCAAAGAGCACTGCGAGATACTTTCCCTATTTGCCGACGACCCGAGAGCGCCTTTTTCCATTCACCGCTTCGTTGAGCACGGTGCCGCCGTCTGCGGAAAGTACCCTGGCGAGTGGTTCGGCCCTTCCGCAGCGGCGCGGTGTATCCAGGATCTGGCCAACAAGCACCGCGAGGCTGGTTTGCGAGTCTACGTATCTGGCGACGGTGCGGATGTATACGAAGACAAGCTGAAGGAGGTTGCCATAGACGACGATGGCCAGTGGCAGCCTACACTAATCTTGGTCGGCACTAGGCTAGGCATCGATAAGATCACACCTGTTTACTGGGAGGCGCTAAAGGCGAGTCTGCAAATGAAGCAGAGCATAGGCATTGCAGGGTGAGAGGCACAATACAGAACCGTTCGACATGTTTTGCTCGTTTGTTATGCTAATCTGACACAGTGGCCGTCCATCCGCTTCCCACTACTTTGTCGCCACGCAGGGAAATAACTTTTTCTATCTCGACCCCCATAGCACTCGTCCCTTGCTTCCATATCGACCGCCTCCGTCATCTACCGAAAACGAGAGTCAGAACCAGAGCCAGAATCAACTAGCAGTCCCATCCAGTTTGGACGCCTCGGCTACCTCGAACTCATCCTCGACAACCATTGTTCCCTCTGCTACGCCCACGGATGGTTCCGACCGGACTACCTATTCAGAAGAAGAGCTGGCCACATGCCACACACGCCGCATTCGAAGGCTCCAAATCCGTGAAATGGATCCCTCTATGCTCATTGCCTTCCTCATTACCTCGGCAGATGACTACGAGAACTGGAAAGAAGGCGTCCGTAGCGTACAGGGGAAAAGCGTCGTGCACGTGCAAGACCAGGAACCCATGCCTAGGGGCCAGGAGAGAGAAGGCGCGGTTGACGAAGTGGAAAGCTGGGATGAAGACGGCCTGCAGTAGCAAAGCGGGTGTGGTGCTTAGACTGGCGTTTGGGGTGCTTATGATGACATCATTCGGATACTTGCATTTTTGGAGTTGGACCGCAGAATTTGAAATGTGTATATCTGTAGATCCTATGTTTTATGAGCAATCAATGCCGTGGTTGTCCGTAGTCGTATCCGACAAGTAAACCTAGAAAATCCGCAAGTACTGTGCCGAATGCTACGTGCGGTGAAGGTCGCCCCTAGCATGTTTATTTCAAACGAATCCCTAAATACCAAATGAGTTCAAACAATCAAACTTGGGACTGTGAAATGAAAAGGCAAAAGTGCGTGAAGTTGGAAATAATTGATTCGTTCCCGTCTGCTGTGGTATAATGTACAGACCCAGATGGACCTCGTAGTCAAAGATGACTATATGATTCGATGACAGACAAACCGACCCATGATCACATTAGCAAAGGACCCGTGAACACCGCACCCCGTAACCACTTGTCATAGTGGCAAGAAAGACCCAAAGAAAACATCCAGCGAAGAAAAAGCACTCTATTTGGTGGATGAAGAGTACTTGGTGACGGCCTTGGTACCCTCAGATACGGCGTGCTTGGCAAGTTCACCGGGCAGGATCAGGCGGACTCTGGAATTGGTGTTAGTGAGTGGAACGGGATGTGATTGTAAAAGGCGGTGAAAACGTACGATGTCTGAATCTCGCGCGATGAGATGGTGGACTTCTTGTTGTAGGCAGCGAGCTTGCTGGCCTCGGTGGCAACGCGCTCAAAGATGTCGTTGACGAAGGAGTTGAGGATGCTCATGGCACGGTTGGAGATACCGGTGTCGGGGTGGACCTGCTTGAGGACTGAAAAGACGCGTCAGTAAATTTTGCCTTATAAGTGCGGAAGATGCGAGTGCATTGAGACCACGCGATTCAATTGCGTATCGCGCTCATGACGCGCAAGTGGGCTAAACTTACCCTTGTAGATGTAAGAGGAGTAGGTTTCCTTCCTGGTCTTGGTGCGCTTCTTCTTGTCACCGGAGGGAGCGGCAGTCTTCTTGCCAGCCTCCTTCTTCTCAGCGGGGGCCTTGCCGGCTGGGGCCTTGCCGCCAGTGGTGGGAGTCTTCTGGGCTTTGGGAGGCATTTTTGGAGATTTGGACGGTGGAGATTGGAAAAGTGGAATCTGGATTGAAAGCAGGAGCTTCGAGTGAGATGGGACAGGTAAAGTGTCGTGGGTGGGTGTCGAGATGGATGAAGGGAAAGGTCGTCGACGGCGGGGGGACGCGCTACTTATGGGGAGCGCGCTCGCATGTTGTGATCCAGCAGCGCCTGGGAGGCCCGTGCGGAGGGATGCTGGCCGCCTTGCCTGTTTGGTGGCTAGGCGAGGGCGGCGAGTGATCTTGCGTCGACTTGCGGCAGGCGCTAGCCGGCGTTGCTGCCCTTTGGCGCGCTAGCGTGCGCAGATTGATCTCGCGCACTCGCAACACGCCAGCGCCGTCCTTATAAGACGGCCCCGCCCCCCAACACCAGCAAGCAATCCATCGTCTTGATACTCCACGCCCACAACCCGCTCATCCACGCCGCTCCGTCCACACTCCCGTCTTTTTCGACACCCACTTCCAAAAACAACCCCCAACCAAAACCTCATTCAAAATGACTGGCGGCAAGTCCGGAGGCAAGGCCAGCGGCTCCAAGTCCAGCGCCCAATCGTAAGTGCACACTGATTGCAACCTTTGCACTTTTTGCCCTCACCTGAGCTGCGCGCCTCGTGCACTCTGGTGTTGCAACTTGTTTGCTTTTGACGCGTCTTCTGTCTCAATTGACGCGTCTTTTTTCGCATTTCTTCAATATTACATCATTTGCTAACAGCAATTCCAGTCGTTCATCCAAGGCCGGTCTCGCTTTCCCCGTCGGTCGTGTCCACCGTCTCCTCCGCAAGGGCAACTACGCCCAGCGTGTCGGTGCTGGTGCTCCCGTCTACCTCGCTGCCGTCCTTGAGTACCTCGCTGCTGAGATTCTTGAGTTGGCCGGTAACGCTGCCCGCGACAACAAGAAGACCCGTATCATCCCTCGCCATCTCCAGCTCGCCATCAGGAACGATGAGGAGCTGAACAAGCTTCTCGGACACGTCACCATCGCCCAGGGTGGTGTCCTCCCCAACATTCACCAAAGTACGTTTGTCGCATTCAGTTCCGTCTCAACAATCACTAATGCATTTTCTAGACCTTCTGCCCAAGAAGACAGCCAAGCCTGGCAAGGGTCCTTCGCAGGAGCTCTAAGCGCATTTTGCTTTTGAGTTTCTTCTTCACGGCGTGGTTACTTCATGGGTCTTTTTCGTCTGCAATGATAATGGGAGTCGGTCTGGGTTTTGGGTTCTCGGCTTTTCACGGGATTTATACCAGAGCTGTATATTAGCTGGTCGCTTTGATGACCACAGGCTCATGAGCTGAATCGAGCATATCACTTCACTGCACCATCTTTTGTCCGTGTTTTCATTTTCTTGCTCATTTTCACAGGTCGGATTGAGACTCGACTTTGTTTGCATCTGCTTCGCGCAACGTGTCTGGCTCATTGTGGTAGCCTGTCCGCTTTGGTGGTCGACTCCTGAATGTGGGGTTGCCGTTTTTGGCGAGAATAGGTAGTGGCGGCGCCATGGTAACTGTGCAGACGGATTTGCAGCGCCCTGCGTTATTGGCGGTTTTTGTCGTTGAATCACGCAGCTCTCACCGCCAAATGAAGTGCAACCACTCCATTTCAAAGTCTAAGTTGCAAGCGCAGAACGACATTTATCTTGGCGGTTTGTATGTCAATTTGCGTCATAGGGTTTCCCTCGAAATTTAGGTCGATAGTGACGTATTTGAGCGTACTCGCACTTCTCTTGAATTTGAACATAGGCGCATTTGCAAAGCCAAACTTACTTCATGAATCAACAGCCCAGATTCTTCTCCTGGACTACCCATATGCACAAATCGTGAAGTACATGCAATTGTAACTAGGATTTACAAATTGTATTTATTTTACGTTGATAGCTGTGCACGCTGTGGTTCGCTGGGAATGCTCTTGGAATACGCTAGCCGGGGACGGCACAAAGTTCCTCCAGGAAACTTTGCTCGATTTATGTGACTTATTTACTACATTCAATGGCAATTTCCTCTTCTGGTACATACTACAATTGGAAACTGAGAACTAGGCCACTAGCCAATACTCACTGTCGTATGTCTTTTGGTTTCTTTTTGCGTATCTGAGCTACCACGTCAATGCACATTGTGTGATTTGTAGGACTATTTGGATCATATCCCAATGGATGCGTGTGATGTGCAATGGATCTTTCTTTTATGTAGCGCTTGATAATTCGATCTGCCGTGCATCGACTTTGGTTGTGTGCAGAGATGTTGCGTACATAGGCATTTGACATTGCTACAGTGTAACCACGTACGAAGTATCGTTACACAACATGCGCAACTGGGTTTTTCATTTAATTGAAGTTACGTTGAGAAACTCTTCTGTCTAAATGCCGTGTTTTAATTTTAGGGGGGGAGGTAATGTTGTTCCATTCATTTTTGTGTTTGTATTTGTGGATATTTTTACGATGAAATTTCTACAATTTATTGCTGAACATTAATTCATACAAAAAATTATTACATCACAACCACAACCTGAATTAATACAAAGATTGAGGAACATGTACTCAAATACTTGGAAATTATACCAACATGTTTTTCAACCCCCAAAAATTGGGTCGTCGTTATCACTCTTTTTTAAGACTGAGGCACGTGGAGGGAAATCGAAGGGACAGCCCGGAGCTCCGTTGGCCCAAGCTGAGCCTAACCGGAAACCGGCCCCCGTCACAGGCACGACTGCCAAGCCCGCGACATCAACCCGCCCTCAGCACCTCACACGCACCCGCGACGCAATAGCGAGAGCCATTGCGGCCACGAACCACGTCTTGCATCGCCGCCATGAGTACCAAAACACATGTCCTGTAAGGTCTTCCGTAGCACCTGCCCGCATCGCCTGTTATGCACGCGCAGAAACTAACCAAGCCGCAGACGCCTCTACAGGCGGTCCCTCAAGCTCGCCCTCGACTGGAGCGTCCATCGATACCTCTGGCGCGGACAGGCTCTGTACATCCGTGAGCTTTTCGAGGCCAAGAGAAACGTTACCGAGCCCCGCCAAATGAGGGTGCGTCTCGCGATTCCCTCTGCAAGCCATACAATCACACACAATTGCCTAGTTACCTATCTATCTACATACTCATACATACCACAATCCCGCCAGTAGCCATGCTGATAAGATGTGTAGGACTTGATCAAGGAGACAGAGGAACTCCTTGAGAAGTGGAAGCACCCAGACCCTTACCGCCCACCCACGGCCCCCGGAGGTTCGTTCTTCCCTACCAACCTGAATACTTTTTGTGTGTCGGCACCACAGACGTGGTGATACTGACTGTCCATAGGTTCAAAGTACGAGCGCAACCTGGCTTGCCCAATTACCGAACGTGAGTTTCTCCATCCCCAGTGTTCCGAACACAACCAGAATTAACCTTGATTAGCTCCACCAAAGATGATTTTGTAGTGTTTGCGACGAGGACTGTGTCCGGGTCAACTTGTACATATTACAGCGACAGTGCTACATAACAGTAGCACGCAATATCAAAGTAAAAGAAGGACAAGGCCCGTTTCACTCATACTGCGCCTCTATCTCCAGGCGCCGCGCATTTCTTCTTTCCTCGTGTCATGATTATTGTGTCTAGATGGCACGCTAGTTGACGCTTTTATTAGGTCTGATACTTTCTCACTCTCCTTACAGTGTTCAGATATCCCATATTGTCTATCACGTGCTCTCTTTCTACCCAGAGCGGTATATCTCCACGTGCCACCTTTTGTGCTCTTTGCTGCACCCATGCGTCCTCCATATATGCCCACTCTGGCATTTCGCAGCAGCCTCCGACCAGGATTGTCCTTTCAGGTGAGATATTGTAAAATAGCGACTCATGTGTCTTTGGTACGAGGACTTGCACGATCTTCTTCTCCGGATCGAAGCCGCGGATCAATGCAGTGCAAACCAACCTCGTTGTTCGAGGATCCAACGGCTGTACCATACCGAGTGATTCAGATTCCGGGAAGAAAGGGATCCGAAGCCTCTTTGTTCGTGGAAGAGATGTGTAAGGGGTTGGCACAATCGATGACGTCGATTGGACGATTTGGACAATAGAGCCATTCAGTGCATGGACCAACGAAGCAGGCTCGACGGGCTCCGAGTACATTGCGAAGCCGACAAAATCTTGTGTCCGCTCATCAGTTTCTTCGTAACAAAACTCCCATGGTACGAGATGAGAGAGCGATTCAGAACTCCAGCTTAGCCCTTGTGTCTGGCCAGGGTTCGCACTGCTAGATTTGAGGTGGAAGTAGGATTGCATCTGCATGGTGCACAGTTCTGCTTCCTTCCTCATCAGCGGTAATTGCGGTGGTTGTGCAGCAATCTCATGCACTGTGCCATGGTACTGCGATGTGATAGTATGTAGCACATGCAGTCTTGCCGCCGTCTCTGTGTCGATGGCTTGCGTGTCACCAAGATGGACCGCATTGTGTGGTTTCAGCCTTGCCAGAAGCTTATCGAGAAGGTCAGAATGAGGCGAGCATAGGAAGCTAGGCGTGTCGACAACGACTGGCAAAGACGAGTCTTGGGCATGAAGGTTGCGGTATGCCACGAGAAGATCCTCTACACACGCCCCATAATAGTCGGAATAATTGGCCAAGTTTGCAGGGATTGGGTGCGCGCGTACTATTTCGTCTATGACTACATCTTTGGATCCGGGCACGATTGACGGATGGGCGAAGCTTGGGCCCAGGTTCAGTTGTCTGATGATGACGAGGGATATCTGACCTCCAGGCGTATACTCTTGCTTTCTCGGATCAAGATCCATGTAGCACACGGCTGGTACCGACGGGGCAGTCTTTCCTAGGCCTGTAAGGTAACGGTTAACGAGTCGCCTTGCAAAGGTTGATTTGCCTGAGCCCAATGAACCGGTCACTACGGTCATGGATGGGCTGCCAGCACAATCCTCGATAGCGCGGAGCCAATCTTCGGGTGCCATTTCCGGGCACAACGTCCTGGAAAGAGTGTCGGCACCTGATTCAGTCACCTGAACAAAGAGTAGTTAGTTCGGATGCGAAGTATGAAGTTAATCCATGATGTGTTGGGTTGACAGACTGTCCCATATGTTCGAGTACAAGGGGTAGCACTTACAACACGAAATGTTTTTCCGTCTTGGGTTTGCGGATCGGTGCACCAGATATCATCAAAAAGTGGATTAATAACAGAAAGTGGTGCTGGTGCACTGCACGACTGAAAGAGGACATGGTTTGTACCATCCAGTCCGCGAATCTTGAATATAGGATTGGTAGCGGGCACAAAGGCTCGATACACTTTGTTCTTCTGACCGTCTCGACCAACTGTACCAATATTGGCGCCATTGATATGAATGGCGCCTCTTAGTACCGTGAATTCAAAGCAGCCAACGAGAGCAATAGTCGCATGCTTGTTCAAGTTGATGGTGAGTTCGGTATCGGTTTCTGAGATGATGTTTTGTGGGTCGTTGCGCCAGTTGCAAAGTTTGAGGTTGCGCGGTACAGGCACATTTTCCTCATCCGTGTCTGAATCTCCATGCTCTGGCTTTTGAATTTCTAGTAGCGGACTTTCGGGTACGGAAATTTGCTCAAGTGTGACTTCTGGTGTTTTCACGACTTTGGCTGCCGCTTCCGTTCTTAGGCGAGCTGCTGCAATTGCGGTAAGCAGTTTTGCGCTCGTGGCATCACGCGCGCCAACATCCTCTCCTCTTTTTCTTTTTCCGGACATTGAGAGTGTTAGTATGGACATTGGTGTAATGACCCCGGCTGTTGGCATTGAAGGACCGAGACGAATGGTTTTTGTCTGGGTTGCGGCGCACGCGGTCCGAAGTAGTTTAGCGCCAATGTGGCTGGAGGTCCGCGCGCAAAAAGTTCCAACTGAACTCACCAACTTTCAAGGCGCAAAGAATATAGCTCGACGCACACCATGAAGGACGTAAAGAAAACAAAGGTACCGCTGCCTGGCGCGAAGCCGAACCGAAAACCTCAGAGCGCCCCGCCGAAAGCACAGTTGAGCCAGGAAACAATCGATACCGACAGCGATTCTGCCAGCGAAAGCATGGCGCGACCGAAGAAAATCGAGAAGCCAAAAGCCACCATTGGCATTCATGTGAACGGTGTACCCAAGTCAAAGACCAATTCCAGCAAGACAGACGCAGATGCTTCTAATTCTGCATCGAAACCCAAACCTTCCCCGAAAAAACCGGCATCGAAACAAATCGTGACGGAACGCGATGTTGCAGACCTTTCAAGCTCTGAGGTTAGCGATGACGATGCGCCAGCCCGAGACATACAGACCAAGCTTCCAGGAAACGAGGAGAAGAAGGATGTCTCGAGCGACACGGAAAGCGAAAGCGAAAGCGAAAACACAAGCAGCTCAGAGAGCTCTAGCGACGAGTCGGATACTGATGATGCGCCGCAACCGAAACGCAATCCAGCACCATCGCAACCCCAGACACAAGTACCAACACAGTCGCACGCGGTAGAATTCCAACCAACCAGAGCCTTTGTGCCCCCGAAAGGATTTAATCCTGTGCCACTAAACGACAAGACAATTTCGAGGTCATCGACAGGCTTGTTCGAAAACTTGGAAGGGAAGCAAGTATGGCATATTACTGCTCCCGCTGGTGTTTCTTTGAGAGATCTCAAGGAGCTCGCAATGAAAAAAGTCAATGATGGGGAGGTAGTGTTGAGCCACAAGGGCAATGACTTTGGCTTCTCCCAAATGAACAAGAGCGAGGCTGGTACACGACAAATTTTTGTGCCCCGAAAGGATGACATGAAGCCTGGTTTGTCTACGTATTAGTGTTGATATGGCATTAACTGACTGTCCCAGTGCCTGTCCCGATAACACAGAGTCTGCGTTTACGGCGCATTATGCAACTACCCAAGCTCAGCTCGCTACAAGCCGACCAAAACACCGGCTCAGAAGCAGCAGCTTCAATAACACGATCCACGATTCGAGCCCCACGACCCCAAGTCAAGGGCCTAAAAATGCGCTTCCTTCCTACCGGCTTTACCGGCAATGACCCAGGAACTATCGGTGACTCGGATGATGAGCTTGAGCCAGCTCGGGAAACCGCAGTGCTCGGAATGCCAGAGCCTAGCAAATCTTCCAAGAAGCAGAAGAGGAAGCATGCCGATGTAAACGGCACGGAGACAAGTGAGGCACCCATGAAGAAGAGCAAAAAGCACCAAGATTCCGAAGAGGCCAAGCGGAAGGCGGAGAAGAAGGCTAAGAAGGAGAAGAAGCGGGCAAAAGAGGCGGCTTCTGTGGGCTCATGAAGGTAGCCTGGGGCAGATTGTAATTGAAAGGTACACATGGAGAGAGGGTTTCCTGGAGCCTTGGATAGCATGCCGCGAGCGTGTGAAGATGCATACGGACAGGAAGCGTCAGGTGAGAGGGCCAGCCTGCATGGCTTGCAATGCACTCAGGAAATTGCACGGGGATGTTGAAGAGAGGCCCGTGGGTTGTTGATGTTGAGGTGGCAGCGATGTGAGAGGAATGCTCGTGCTGCGAGCGGGCACATTACATAAGCCAGGACAGCAAAATATATAGCAGATACCTCCAAGGCCTGTAGCAAGTCACTTTGCCCATGACGTTGCTGTCGTCGAACACTGGGCTGGGCAGAGGATACGGGCGTGGTTAGTGGATGTTAAATCCGGGCAGTTTGGCTGTTTTGGGCGGCAGGGCGGTACGCATCCGGGCCCCTGGTAGCTTGCGATGACGGATTGACACTAGCGGCCAGGGCTAAACAACGCGCGCTCTGTTGTCACAGGCGAGCCAGGCCATCACCGCAATTGTCGTGAATCTTTGCCTTGACCGCACCATGCGAATGAGCAGGCCTCGCAGCTTTTGTATCCCACGCGACTGCCCTGACCGCTGTTGCTGCTGCTCCTGCGCGTGCATCTGCCGTCATGGCCCCCCCGTCCAACGACGCTTCGTTCCATGCTGAGCCCTTGCAAACAAAGAGCGACTCCACACTCCCGACTCCCATGGCCACGCCCACCGACAACGAGCACATGGCACACCAGAAGCCCCACGACGACCATGATGATACCTTTTACCTGCCCGATTCAGACCTGCCGCCGCTCCCCATCGGCGACGACGACGACAGCATCATACCCCGTGTAGTCGGTGAAGAGGACGCGAACCAGGAGAGCGTCTTCGACGATGGCGAAATGAAACGCCAATTAATGGACATTGAATCAAGTTTCATCCCAGAAGCACCCATTCACGCCGAAGCAACACAGTTACTACCCGGTGCCGACGACACGTACCTATTCGGTGGCTCGCCGGGCAATTCGCAGCAGTCGTCTCGTCCAGCCCACGACGACTCGGCCATGCGCCGGGTCATGGACACGCTCGAGGAGATGACAAAGCCCAAGAAGAAGCCCAAGAAGCTCGAGGTGCGCAGTGGGCACACACCGACCCAGTCGCAGAACCGAAACTCCTTTCAGGCCGACTCCCCATCCTTCTCCGAAGCCCCTACCCCTGCCGGTGCTTACAAGACGCCCGCTGCTCGCCCGCTAGATTTCGACCCCGACGACTCCATGGACGCCGACACATCTACATCAGATGTCGCGCCTTCTTCGCCCTCTGCACAGGCAGCCCAGCGAAGCCAAACGCGCTCTACAGCAGAGCACACCGTACAGCAGGCGCGAGACGATGACGGCGAAGGCGACGACGATGATGACGAAGAAGAAGAGGGGGAGGAGGGGGAAGATGACCAAGACACAACTTCTCAAGATGGGCAAGCTGCCCCAGGTGCCCGGCAGAAAGATGGTGACATGCGGCGCCCAACGTCTAGCGCTTCCACCGTTAAGGCCCCTGATTTTTCCCAGACCGAAGACGGTTCCTCACTCACCAACACGACTGACTCGAGTATGGACAGCACATCCATGCCTCCACCAAGTGCTCCTGCAACCGTCCAAAAGGTAAGTAATCGACCAAACTACCTGCAGCACCGCAATTCGAGCCAGCGGTCATCCGTGTCCTCCCTCACCAATCGCTCCGATGCATCTGGAGATGGCGCAACCGAAGAAAGCCTAGGCGCAGACTTTGCCCTGCAAACTGGAGGTGCGGTACCGCGCTCAAGCGGGCCGCAAAAAATGAACGTTGCCCTATCGAGACTTCCGAGTCTGGGTAGCATCGCATCTTCCATGTCAGGATACAGTGACACTAACCCTTGGGACAAGGGCCGGAGTATCAGCGCCAATTCTTTATCCGCCTTTCTTCAGCCAGATAATAGTCTGGGTAGGTTAGAAGAAGAAGTCCCCAGTGCAACACCACCCGAGACACCACGTGCTCCCAGCGTTCAGCCCGCTGCACCTACCGACACGGTCATTGCTAGACACGTCCAGGATATCCAGGTGCCGGATTCCATTGCGCGCGACTTCCGGGCTAAGCACTCGCGCTCACCTGACAAACGGCACATGGCTACTCCCTTCACACGTAGCAAGCACAACCTGACACTTAAGGAGCAAAACAGCAAGATTGATAAACTTAGCAAGGAAAACTTCGATCTCAAGCTCAAAATTCATTTCCTTGACCAGGCGCTCCAGAACCGGTCTGACGAGGGAGTTAAGGAGATGATCTCAAAAAATGTTCAACTGCAAACGGACCTAGCTACGGAGAAGAAGGAAGGTCAGTCGATGCGAAAAAAGATCAGGGATCTGGAACGCAGGCTCAAGGCTCAAGAAGAAGGATCCGCCAATGCCAAAGATGCTGCTAGTGGCTCTGAGGATGGCAGAAGCGAACCGTCATCGAGACAAGCGGAGCTGGAGGAGGAGATAGAATTCCTTCGAGAGCGTCTGGAGTCAACTGAGATTACTGTAGATCAGTGGCAACAAGAAGCTCTTCAAAAAGAAGCTGACAATCGACGCATGGCCGACTACATCAAGGCAATGCGCGAAAAGGGTTCGAGCGGAGAAGCCGCTGGTTTCGATGAAGCTATCAACATGTGGAAGGAGGATTTTGAGGATGAACGAGCCAGACGCGAGCAAGTTGAGACACGTTGTCAACAAGCTGAAGCCGAAGCAGATCAACTTCGCGAAGAAGCTCAGCGTCTAAGAGAACAGGTGCAAGAATTGCAACAAAATTCCATGTCAACTCATCATACAAACAAAACCTTCAATAATTCACGGCGGATCCACCAATCCTTTAACGGACGCTCAAACGACGATTTCGAAGGCAATGACCCCACTGCACCAGCATCAGCTGGCGGAGCTAGTAGCACTCTTGTGGAACAACTACAAAGCGACAACGACAAGCTACAGCGAGACTTGCATGCACAGGCCTCCATGCTCACATCAAGGAACCGAGAGAATCTCCGGCTGAGAGAAGAAAACGAGGGCCTGAAGCTTACAATCAGGAGGGGAGATGCTGGATCAACTGCTGGCGATAGCATTTTGGAGCGCTCAGTTTCTCGTAACCACATGCGGTCCGTGTCACGGGCAAGTGGTGGCACTCGCAATACGCAAACAAGCGACCCTGATCGAGATGACTACGAAGCCAAGAATGCAGCTCTGCGAGACGAGTTGTCGCACTTGAAACTGTCGTACAAAGAGCTTGACGACCAGTTGAACGGTCACCTCGATATGCTTGAGACCTCAGAGAACAAAGTAAGGGAACTGGAAAAGGAGATAGAGGCTCAGACAGAAGATCTTCAGGCTTTGGCCAGCGAACGTGATGAGGCGCTGGAGCTGCTCCAAGACAAGGAACAAGAATGCGAAGAGCTGAGACAGGAAGCCTTGGACACTGTACAACGGCTGGAAATTGAGCTTGAGCAGAAGCAAAACGAGCGTGACCGCCTCTTCAATGACTTGGAAAATATCACCGAAGACTTCCACGCTTTGCAGCAGGAAATGAAGAACGTTAGCGAAAGTCTTTTAGCACTCGAAGACGATCGAGATGCAAGTCTGCGCAAGATCCAAAATCTGGAGTCTGAACTTAGCGACGCCAATGAAGAGTTGAACAGGCAGGACAAGGTCATCGGCGAAGAAAGATCAAAGAATGAGCGACTGGACATTCAACTCGAGTCCTGCCAGGGTGAAATCGATTTCCTTCGAGAAGAACAAGAAAGCGACAAGATCAAGATTGGCGAGCTCGAGTCAGCTCTCAACCATACCCAAGTTTCACTGCAAGAAGCAAGAGAACGTTCACGAGACCTTGAGGAGCGCATGGTGGAAGAGAGACAGCAACGTGATGCCTTGGAAAATCAAGAGAAACAAGAGGTGGAAAAGATCATTACAGATCTTAATGCTCAGCTGACGAAGCTCAAAGAGGAAAGCAGGAAGCTGCGCAAGAGCCTCTCTAGCGCAGAAGTCGATGCTACGACCTGGAAGCTACGACATGATGAGCTGGAGCAGACCCTTCGGGAATCCCTTGGTAACCTCAGCGGTACCAGGGCTAGTCTTTTCAAGGTACGGAAGAGTCATGTCATTTGGTTGCGTTTCATCGACTCACAAATTACATAGGATATTACAAAGCTCCAGCGAGACCTCCAGACTACCACACAAGAGCTCGATGTTGTCAAAACAGACCTCGCAGAGAAGGATCGACTCCTACGCAACCGTGATACCCTTTTGGAAAACACTGGAATGGAAAGTCGTCGCTTGTCTGAGCTTCTTGAGCGCGAGCGCCACGCACGTCGACAAGACCAATCAGCCTTTGAAAATGCAAAGCGCAGCCACCAGTCTACCTCCAGGGCGGTTCAGCAGCAAGAAGCAAAGATTGTCGAACTTGAGAACCTTCGTAACCAAGACCGTCACAGACTCCACAATCTGGAGAAGCAGTACAAGGAACAGCTACTTGAGCGCAACAATCTTCTCTATGCTCTATGGAACCGACTATCCACTCTTTGTGGTACCGAATGGTCTCGTAACCACGCCGTTATCAACGGAGAGCTCACGTCGATGGAGCTCATTTCGAAGAATGTTACGGGCTTTAACAAGAATATCATCTTTGCGGTGAGGACCGTAGAGGGTATTATTGGCAGCTTCAAGCAAAGGATTCGAAACATTGAGAAAGACTTGCTTCGCGACTACCAGACTCTTGAACACACTCTTGAAACTCGTGTCAAGAGGCTGGACCAGCTCGAAAAGCTCGTCATGGCTCAACGACAGTCGATTGGAAGACCTAGCACTGTTCGCGGTGGTGTTGTCGATCTCAACACAGCCGAACTGAACAAGCTCCGGACTGAAAATAAGACTTTGCGATCTGAGGTTCAGACTCTTCGCGCCATCACCACAACGACGCAGTCTGGAAACGACATCATTCTCAGCCGTTCTTCATCAAGGGCTGGGTCACCCACCTCCAATAAGCGTGCTAGCATGGCACAAACGCTCCTGCGTGCGCAGTCCGCCTCGGTCGTGGAACATCTCTCGTCATCGACACCTGGCCACCCCTACCCTGCTGCTGGACCCGTTCAACCAAGTGAGCAGAAGTGGATACATCGTCTCAAGGAACTAGAACGACGACTAAAAGCCGAGCGAGAGGCGCGACTACTTGATCGCAGCGGTGCTAGGAAGCGTTTGGAGCAGAAAGTCGAAGAGAACGCCGACTTACGAGCTGCTCTTGAGAAGGAGCGAGACCGAAGGGACGAAGATAGCGATCACGTGCAAAGAACCGCATCAGCTATGGGGAACCGAGTTGGAGGCAGCGGACGTGCTAGTGTGATTGGAAGCATGCGTCACGCTCATGGGAAAGACAGGGAAGAGGAAATGTATTAGTGCATTTTCTCTTGGTAGATTCTTCCTTTTTTTTTCCTTTTTTCCTTGCATGTATATCCTTTTTTAACACCTCCTTCTTCTTTTAGACTTGTCAAGCACTCTTCGAGATCTGTCTCATTTGATGCTTTTTTTATTTTCATCTTTCATGACCTAATGTATAACGAAGACATAGCTTGACAAAAGAGGTGTCCGGGCATTGCTTAATTGTTTTACTGTGGTAATTTCGGGTATACCATCTATCGAAAGAGGAGGGTGTCTTGATTCTTTTTTCCAATGAAACGGGATATCTTAGTGTTTGTGGCGTGTGATCCTACAGTCTTAGGTTGTTGCTCATGTTCAATGTGAGTGCGGTTTGCGCGTGCAGGTGATGTTCGATGTGTAGTGAATGGTGTGTTAGGCAACAATATCGCTTTTATTGTTCGCTTGCGAAATGCGACAGCTACGTTTCGTTGATGCCTAGGCACCCCCCTCTTGCTGCACTCTGCTTTGCATGCGAGATCCGCTTTTCAAGAGCGGCTTCTGGCCGTATGAAAGCAGCAGGGTAATATTATGCCCATTTGCTTGGTCATCAGTGATAAGAAGAGCGACGAACTCACCGCCTATCGAGTCCACGGCTGGTTCGCAGTGAAAGACAGCACATGGCATCGGTCCTCTCCTAGTATTAAGACTACTTCCCCCAACGATACTACTCCCTTGAGCACATTTACTGTTGTGAAAGTACGTGCAGCAGGTAGTTGCACTTGTCCCAAGTGAAGCCATGGAATCGCATCGCAGTCCTAGTTGCAATCACCAGGTTGCTCACCAGCATTCGAAAGAGTAAGCTTACCTGGTACCTAGCGGCAGAGCCAGATGCTGAATCATCTCCAAGCAATGACCATTGTGATCTACACTCACTACCGCCCATAACATCGCCTCTTCCCCAGCAATCGGATGATTCTGATCTTTTCTCTACTCTTCTATTCGATCGGCAGAGCGCATACAGGACGACACAACTCTCACCTTTTAGGACAAGGGAACTTACTTCCATCGAGCAAAGGTTTTTGGAATCCAACGCAGATACGCTCCCGGTGCCCCCACTTTTGTATACGTCTTCAGGGGACGAAAAAGTACTCCCTTGTAACGCATCAGCATACATATTTCAAAGCAGAACCATGCCACCTAAAACAACTACTGCAAGCAAGATGAGGGTACCAGTAGCAAAAGCAACAGCAGCTAAGAATAGAGGGAGAACGACAGCGTCTAAGAAATCAGTTAAAGCTGTAGGCGTGGCCGTGATTAAAAGGGCGACAACAAAGCCTGTGACAGCAAAAGAAAGTAGCATTCAGAAGCCTGGAGAAAGTAGCAGAAAGGGTAAATTAAGAACTGAAAGCAAGGCGGCTGCACTAGAGGATGAAGACATCATCATGATATCGTCGGACGACGACACTGAGACGGAGAAGGAAGCTAAAGAAGTTCAATTAACCCGCCAACTTCGCGCAGACCTGGCCGCTGCGAAAGCGAAAATCCAGCAAGTCAAAGAGCAAGCCAAGAAAGCGCAACGCGACCTCCTCGCCGAGCAAGAAAAGGCCAAAAGCCTCCAGACCGAAAAGGATGAATTGACATCCCAACTAACCACGATCAAAGCCGAGCAACAAAATTTTGTCAAAGAAATGCTCGCTGCAGAAGAAGAAAGACTAGACCTAAAAAACCAAGTCCAACATCTCACCACGCAGAACACAAATCTCACCACCCAACTCAAGCATTTGGCTACGGAAAAAGAAGAAGTCACATCCAAAAATACCCTTCTATGCACCGAAAACATCATCCTTCGCGACGAAACCCAGCGCCTCAAATCCTCCTCTGCAAGTGCCGCCCCGCCACCGACGCCGCAGTCCACATCTACTACATCCACGCTCCTGCCTGGCTCCCCCGCGCCCTCCAGCATCGCCTCTACAGAGGAAGACATGAAGCTAGATAACGTTCGAAAGGTGTATACACAGTTGAAGAGGAAGCAGGATATTTTGAAGGATATAGTGAGGCAATTAATGTGGTGCACGAGAAACATGGTGCTGGGTGAATTTGGGGAGTTTGGGGTAACGGTGAGGAGGTTGCGGGAGTGGATGGAGGAGGATGAGCAACAGCGGGGGACGAAGAAGCAGAAGCAGAGGGCGGGGCCAGGCGGGTAATAGAACGACAGAACAGCATGGGAATGCATATATTTCACGAGTCAAAACTGCTCTTGTGCTAGTAAAGAGGGAAATATTCTTTCATGGTATATGTCAAGTTCCCTACGTACCTAAGCACGATAAAAAAGAACACCCTACAGCCCAAACTTACTCTTCATAGCCCCCATGACAAACCCTCTCTTCTGTTTCCCCACAAATTTGTTTACGTCATTAGCCCAACCTGCACTATTCTGTGACAGATTGTCCATGCTATCACCGACGATATTCAGCTTCTCAGTCCGCTCGTTGAGCTGTCGTGAAGCCCATGCGCCCCAACCTTCTTCAGCTTGAGCGTCAGCCTGTCCAGGATAGGATTGGTACTGCGCAGCAGGCGATATGGAAGATGAAGCGTTGTCACGGCGACGTTCCTGCTCGGCTTCTGCACGTTGTTGGGCGAGTTGACGGTTTGAGAGTGGACGGTCGGGGCCACCGACTGCGGGAGATGTTAGCCGAAAAGTAATCAAGGACGATCATAGAGTAGATCTTACTGAGTAGGTCCATGTCAGCTGGTGTTACGTATTGAGTACCGGATATCCATTGTATGTTGCTGATCGTCGGTCGTGGCGGGATGAGCAGATCTGGGTTGAGCAAGACATCCTTTGCTCGATCACTAGAAGCTGTTAGTACAGGCAACTACTAGCTGCGGATATCATCACTTACTATCGGAACCCTGCTCCGAATATATTGATCAGACCCAACTCTGCTGGACCTTTCCATCCAAGAATATCACCCGTGGCTGTGATGATCGCCTCTGAGAACCGTCGAACATCCAGGAATTCACTGACATTGACAGATGCAATTTCTTTCAGGGCTGGTATCGAGTAGGCTCTCGCACAGCCATCACCATAGAGGCCAAGCAATGCATACCCATGTTCCTCGTACCTTACCACCATCGCGGCATCGCACAGAAATTGATCAAAGGTTTTATGTGCACCCTTGCTCGTAGCGGGACGGAACAATCTCGCTTCAGAGCAGGTAACGGCCAAAAGTACGCCGTTAACCTTCAGTCCAGTCCTCAGACCGCCGACAGTAGACTGTGAGGCATACGCTGGGCGGCCGGTGTCGGCATGTATGGGGCAGATACTCAGAACTCTTTCGTCTAGCGAGCACGCGCCTGCAAATTTCGCCGAATATCGACCATTTGCTTCTGGTAGTATCTTAAAGGTTGCAAGATGGCCAAGGTTGGTTCCAACATGCACCAGTATACTTGAGTAGTCTTCGTCTTCGAGTGTCATGACGCTGAATTCAATACAAGTTGGCCACTCCGCTTTCGGTGCTGCCTGGGCAGAGCTGCGCCGAAAACTAGAGCGTTTGTCGGACTTGATGAACTCTTGTACAGACGCCTGGAAGATGATTGCTGGCCCTCGGAGATCGATAATAGTAAAGCTTCCCCCTTCAAAACCGGCAGCAACAAAGCCTACATCCGAGTGCTTCAAGGCGGTGACCGCTCCATTGCCTCCGTCGAGCAGTGTAAGAGGGAGCAGTCCCTCCTTAACAGCCCCCTCACTTCTTTCCGTAATGTCTGTGAGCGCCTGAGGCTTGTTCTCGCCGGGTGGATACTCCTGACCTGCATGCTTGTTCGTATTCCATCTGAACACTACCACTTCACCACTCTTCAGCCCAACTGAAAGCTCGGAGGCAGCACCTGCGAATGAAGTTTTTGTTATGTGAACATCCTCTGGTCGTCCAACCGCTCGAGCAACGTCAACCTGAATTAACGCACTGTTCTCAATCTCATCAGCATGCCCGGCATCCCACAGTCGTACGGTGCCATCCGCATGCGCTGTTTGGACAATATTTCGGTTCTCGAATCTCTTGAGTGGATGTACTGCTTCAGCACCACCGGTTAAGAATGGAGGACCTTTTTGTCGCTTTTCGGTCATTCCGAGCCATCGGGTTCGCTCCACTGGCGCGAGATTGATGTGATTGATATATGGGTGGACAAGCGTCATAGAAAGGTGCAGTTGGTTGGTAGGCGTAATGGGCATACCACTTGGAAACGACAGAGTGATCAGCTCGCCTGAAGCAAGCAAAGCAATTATTGCAATAGGGTCATGGCAGCCAGCGTAGTGCGGTGAAGACCTTGGGATGAGGAAAAGGTCAATGACTTCGGTGCCGGGCGGGCACGGCAATATTCTTTGTCTCTTGGGGTTCTCAAAGTGAGCCGACAGTATCTGCCACGATGCAGTAGCATATACGGGCGTTCGACCCAACTCGAAGAGAGTCAGACTCTTTGCCGAGATATTCGATGGCTGTCCACCTGCGACAAGGATGGCGGTGTCATCGGGGTCTTGATTCGCGCACCATGCGATCTTGAAAATTGGCGACTTGAGCGCAAAAGACCCCTCTACTGCACCCGGGCTGAAGTTCCCTGGGCCTGGCTTGTCCACATTTGTATCTGTGAGTGTCCTTGCCTGTATAACGCGGCCATCCTTGGTATCCCAAATGACGATACTGCTATCTTCGTGTCCAGTCAGAACAAAGGTTCCCGTTGGATGCCAAACGGCCTGCGTCAGTGGAGGTTCGCGTTCCTTGAAGATGGAGCCTGGGTCTGAGTCTCCACCTGGCGCTCCTTTGGGAAGACGGTAATTGAAAAAGTGAGTGGCCTTGTTTTGCTTGAACGAGTAGATGACTGCGCCGGAGTTGTACCCAATCAGTAGAGAGCCGATGTCTCGAGGATGCAGCGACAGTGTGATGACGGACGTTAACCGGGATCGCGGAAACTTTTCCCGCCACAAATTGGGTATTTTGAAGGGTGTAAGCGTCTCTCTGTCGAGATCATAGGCGAACACCTCGCCATGCTGCGTGCCCAAGAGCGCATAGTCGATGGCAGGATCACTGTGGAGCGCTGTGATTTTCGCAGGGGGTGAGTGTGCATTTAGCAGTTTCCTGGTGTCGAGCGAGAAGACGGAGAGGTCGTTTTTCGAGTCTACGCACAAAAGCTTCTCGGCACAGAACTGGAGGATCTTGACAGAGGCGCTACGGTTAGGAAGCGACAACACAACCTCGACTCGCTTCTGGCCGAAGACGTAGATTTGACCGGGGCCATATTTGCTCTCGCTTGTTCCGACGGCGATGAGAGACTGAACGGGGTCGTATGCGAGCTGGGTGATTTTGGAGTTTATGCCATAGTTGCGGATCTTCACATGTGGTTAGTTTGCACGCGTTGGAGGAGGGGCCTGTGGCAGAGGCGGGGGCTGCGGCAGCGTGGGCATACATGGTCAAGCACAAAAAGATCAGGGCTGAGGCCCTGGGAGAGATCGTTGCTGATTCCAGCTTGCTTTCCGCGCAAGAGATGGGCCATGGTGGCGTGTATGTCTCATGGCGCTGTGCTGTGAGGCTGCGGTGGACAGTGTCGGGCTGCACCTGGCCTGCCATGCACTGTTTCGCCGGCAAGAACGCGTTGCGCGACGTCATCCGGCAACATTAAGCGGCCATGCAGGGTCCACCAGCCACACAGAGCGCACGCAGCGCTGACGCCAAGCCACACCCCCAGCCACACCTGGTCATGCATTTCCAGTCATTCGCAGGCAGTTCCCAGACAATCTCTTGCCAGCGATCCAGTAAGTAGCATGTTGGCATCGAACCAATCTGTCACACTTAAATACCATTGATGGATATCGCGTATTGCCGCCTGTGCTTGGTGCCAATCGTTACTTTAAACCCCTCTGCGATACTCACAGTCCGACATTCCGACGCCATCCGACTGATCCACTTGGGAAGACACTGTTTTACAATCTCTCTTTTAACTGTTTGCTTCTTGTAGCAATATGCCTCGTCGCTACTCTTTGATGCCACAGTAGGTACCGGTGTAGCGCCTTTGCAATGCCACTCTACACATTGAACGTTTCCCTCTAAGCTATCAGTGATAAACAGCGTCTTGCCGTCTTTGCCACCAAAACAGCAATTTGTCAGATTAATCCCCTTCGTACCCGACACGATCCTTGCCTTTGGTGTTCCATCCGCATTGACAACGAAAACAGACCCCTCAGACTCCCCACACCTTTCTCCGCGTTGGCTGAACTCATAATCTCTGATTTATCTCACTTGTACAAGATCTGATGCCGATTTACGCCGAGGAACACCAGCTACACCAACTTCACTAAGGGACTTGTTCCTTGTATCTTGGTCGACCCTGGATATGAAGAACAGCTTTTTCGTGGCTTCACCGTGCGATTTGATCAAGAAAACAGCGTGAATAACAATTTGAATGAGTTCAGGTTGATAATAACTGTTTCTACAACCCATTTGGTACTTGCTTGAACATCTCATGGTGCTCGCAGGAGAGGGCAGGTAGCGATCTAGGGGATCTCTTAAAAATCTTGACTGACAAAAAACAGCAGTAGCATTGTACGTTCACCAGAGACCAGCTAGTTAATTTGGGTAAATGGTACAGAAAGCATCCGGTCCCACAGCCACCATCGCATGAAGCTGATCAGTACTTGGACGCCTATTTCAAGCGTTTTCATATCAGTTGCGCATTACTCATTTGTGAAGATACTCCTACAGCCGCATTTTACCATTTCGAGGCCTGAGAACGCACTGCCAATCCCAGACCGCCTCCATTCGATCACGATGTTTGGCAAGGCACCATGCGAGCCCCAGCTCTGAGAACTCGTTTGGACATTTCGACACCCAATGATATCATCACAACACTCAAGTCTGTCTCGGACATTCAGACCACCCGGCTAGTCAGTAAGGTCCGTGTCCGAACGCAGCTGAAGCCATTAGACGACTTGCTTCGGTCGCTTCGGTGAGTGAAAGACCCAGCATCGGGACCCGTGATGAATGCGGGGTCTCCGCACATACGTCCTCAGCATGCAACCGTCTTCGTGTCGAGGCTTGCCGGCTAGCGATTCATACATGGTGTTGTCTAGAAAAGGGTAGTTTTGTTCTCGCAAGGAATACTTAAACAGCCGCTATTTATGCTATGCGTTCAGCGCTCTCTTTCATGTTGACCAGCGCTGCTGGATTTTATCGATACTATGGCCAAGCCGAGTCTTCTTAAAGATACAGTTAAGGCTATCAAGGGGTGTCCGCCAGAGATATTCAATGTCTGGCTTTTCTTTTGCACGGCTGTGTGGAGTTTTTCGGGTGTGGCAAAGGGATTTGATGAAGGCATGCTTGTGTTTGTCTCCCTGTAGACGGGATGCTAATCTTTGATCCAGTCAATATAGCATCGATTGTAGTGCAAAATAAGTTCAAGACCGAGTTCGGAGTCATTTACGAAACCGATGCTGAATATGCCAGTAAGAAGCATTTGTTGAAATTACTATTGTATCATCCAGACTAACCTTTTGTACTGCCAGATACTAAGGGATGGATCGTCTCCATCGCCACAGCGGGTGCCGTCTTTGGCTGTCTAGCTTGCATCAATCTTGTGCAGATATGGGGGCGAAAGTGGACCATGTTAGTCTTTACGGTCATCTACATTGCCGGAATCCTGGGTCAGACCTTTTCAAACGGTAGCCTGTCTGCCTTGTACGCTACCCGTTTTGTTACTGGTATCGGAATCGGTACCACGACCGTTTTACCTTCAATCTACCTTACCGAGGTGAGTAACCAGCGTGTACAGTTTGCAGCTGCAAAATACTAATTCCACACCTTCAGATCGCACCCCGAAGCATTCGTGGCCTGCTTACCCTCCAATACGCCTGTTGTCAACAACTCGGTGTCGTCTTCGGTTTCTTCTTCAACTATGGCATCACAAAATACCACGCTGGCACGCGCCTCCAATGGCAACTCCCTACGGGTCTGCAGCTCGCCCCTGCAGTAATCTGGGGTATCGGCATCCTCTTCACCCCCGAGTCCCCCCGCTTTCTCCTCTCCAAATCCAAAAGTACAGAAGCCCTCCAAGTTCTCTGCCGCTTCCGCAACCTCCCCGCTGACCACCCCTACATCGTCGCCGAATTCGCTGGCATTGAGCACCAGCTCAACCTCGAAATCGAAGCCGTAAGCGGCGCCACAGTCTGGGATCTCTTCAAAGAAACCTTCTCAGTAACCGAGTACCGCCGCTGATTTGTCCTCATGTTCCTATGCCACATGTTTGGTCAGTGGTCCGGTGCAAACGCCATAACGCAGTATTCGCCTTCGATTTTCGGGTACTTGGGTATCGAGGGCGAGGAAGCGCGGTTCCTCGCCACGGATCTGTACGGAATCGTGAAGTTCGTATCCATCCTCGTTTTCTCCATCTTCGTCATCGATTTTATTGGGCGTAGACGATCGCTTATGCTCGGTATTTCGCTACAAATCCTGACTCTCACGTTCGTGGGTGCGTACCTCGGTGTCACGAATGGTATGTCAGCTGCGGAAATCGAGGCGAGTGCGAGTGCTACGGCGGTGAGTAAAGCCAGTATCGTGGCTATCTTTATTCATGCTGTGGCGTGGTCGATTGGTTGGTTCTCTATTCCGTATCTTGTTTCTGCGGAAGTCTTTCCTGTTCGTATCCGCTCGCTCAACGTTTCTATCCTCATGGCGTTTCACTGGGCGTTCTACTTTGGTTGCTCGCGCGCTATTCCGAGTCCGCTCTCTGCTACGGATCGATATGGTGCGTTCGTCTTCTTCGCGAGCATCTGCTGTATGTCGTTGATGTACGTTTACTTTGCGCTGCCAGAAACGGCTGGCCGCTCGCTTGAGAGTCTGGATAAGTTGTTTCAGCGGCCGTAGTATACAGTTCGGAGAGTTGCTTATCCCAATGGAGATGATTTGGCGGATGGAGGTGCGCGGAGAGAAGAGAAGCTGGGGGAGGTGCTGGATGAGGAGAAGAACGGAGAAGTGCGGATTGAAAAGCATGTGGAGAAGAAGTGATAAGAGAACAATACTAAGATAACAAGGATAAGTATACATTATGACTACATATATATTACTATCCTGCCTAGGAATAGAAGAGCTCTCTACCGCCGTGATAGTTTAAAGCAGTAAATTAAGAGGGGGCAAGAAGCTAACAAGAAAAGGAGTTAAATGATAAGTCCTATAGATCCTATTTAGCTTTAGCACATTCTATGCACAAGGACTTACTAGAACTACTAAAACTCTATTAGTATGTAGTATTAGGTGTTAAACTCCTCTAGCTTTATATACTTGACAAGTTCGAAGTATCGCTTAACTTTTTTCTCTCTGTTTTCTATATAGCGTATCACATCAATTATCTTAAAAAAGAAAAGCAGGTCACACCCTAATCTGCCAGAATTAGGTATTAAAAAAGTTAACTTTAACTATAGTTAGTAAAATATATATAATAAAAGGATTTAGGTAGACC